GCCATACGCAGCCGCTTGACGAATAGCGGGAGAGGCATCCTGGCAGCCGAGGAGCAGAGGCTCCGAGATATACTGGGCGTAGTGAATGCTCTCAGCACCACAGTATTCTAGAACATCATCCATAATGCACAATCCCCACTGTCGCTGCGTGGTATCATTCGAGCTCAGGAAGCTGCTGTAGGTGGGAAGCAGGCGGCTCCATGCGCTCAAGAAGCTTGCGCCGTGATACTTGAAAACAGCATGGAACGCCTTGTTCATGTCCGAAAGGAGAGTCTGATCGTCCTCAATGGCCATCTGCATCTCTTCCGACTCGTCCTCGCCATCTTCACCTCCTTGCTCCTCCTCACGAGCGGCTGCCCGATCCTTGTAATCCTCAAGAGTGGAGTGGACACCGTCGATGAAGCGGCCCATGTGCGTCTCATCAAGGCAGGCAGTGCCGATAACCTCGATGGACTCATAGAAGCATTGATACATCTCCGCGAGCGTATCAATGGCAGGCTCGGCGCTAAGGACGTCGAGGAGCTGAACGACGGTGCTGGTCCACAAGCCCTTGAGCTCGTTGGAGCCGGGACCGTACTGCTTCTTGTACGAAATGAGCAATTGCGGAACTAGCTTCGCAGACATGTACCTGACAGGATCGTGGAAGAAGAAGGCCAGACCAGGAAGAGCAATCTTCTCCATGATGTCTGCGACATAAGGCGCAAAGTCACCCTCAAGAACCTGAGCGTACACCACGAGCAGCTCGATGGCCATGTTCTTATCATCCATGGTGCTGGTACGGATACCAATAGTCTTACCACGGAGCGGGACAAGCTCCCACCCTTCCTCGGTCTGTAGCTGCTCAATCTGCTCGTCGTCTTCCAGAAGCTGGATATCGGCCTTGGCGCTAGCGAGCTCGAGGAGTGGCGGCATAACCTCGGGCAGGTAGGGAAGGAAATCCCTACCCAGCACACGGCACATTCTTCCCCAGCAGTGCATGAGGTACTGGGCCTGAGGATCGTCGGGGTCGGTGATGTTTTGCTGGATGCTGGCCAACAGTTGCACGAGCGCCATAGCATCCGCGCCGAGACGCTCCTTTCCAACCGCAAGGGCGATCAGGGTGGCGCACTCCATCGCCTTTGCCCGGAGGAGGCGGACCTCCTTCTCATTCTCGCGCTGCAACACTCCCATCAACAGGGGCATGAGAGTATCATAGTACTTGGCAAATGCCTGCTCTGCGGCGTCAGCAATGGTGGCGATGGTGGACAAAGCCTGCTCTTGGACGTAACGCTTTTCATTCTGAAGAAGCTGAAACAAGTGCGACAAAAGGTTGTCAAGGTAAGGCTCAAGGACGCTCTTGTCAGCCTCCTCACAAAAGTTAACAAGCGCCGCAGCAGCATGTGACTTGACCCGTGCCTCAGGTGCGTTAAGGACGGGCACAATGGCCGACAGCACGATGTCGTAGTACTGCTTCTGCATAGTAGGAGCAAAGTCGGTGCTCATCTGGCCGAGGGCGTTGCAGCCAGCCCAACGGACACGAGGATGGGGGTCCTTCAGAGCCGGGACAACCAAGTCAAGGACCTGCTTCAGTTCACCAATCATCTCCTCGCGGCAGCCTTCTGAAATGGCGGATAGAGCCATCAAAGCAGCGTGACGGTCTCTCCAAGCCGGGGAGTTCATCATGCTAGGCAACCAGCCGAAGATGGGGCTGAGAATAGCGGCACCTCCGAGCTTATTAGCCAGACGATCGAGACACTGCTCACCTGCGACATGGTTGGAGTCACTCTCGTCGGTGTCGAGCTGCATAAACGCCATTAGCACATAGCCAATGTATGGGCCCCACAGAAGTTACAAGTGACCCAACAACTTACATCGTCGCAGCTAAGCCATTCGGCCGCATCATCGTCATCCTCACCAAGATCCGTCATCAAGCTAAGGCACTGTGTGATCATATCCTTGGTATAAGAAGCATCCTTCTTGCACATGGACGGAGCGTAATCGGCAAAGGTGGCCATAAGTTCCAGCGCATTTTGTCGGCAGAGGTCTGTGAGCTCCTTGTCTTGAATGACTGAAATGCTGAATCCAACAAGAGTCGAGAAGACGGTCTTGAACATCTTGGGGGAACTTTCGGCCAAGTCGATGAGAGCGATGAGGGCCTGGCTAAGGTCGTCCGAATCTTGCGAGTCCTTGATAGGAGGAAGAATGTTGAGGAGCTGAGGAAGGAGCTCGAAGTACTTGGCCTGATTCTTCTTTCCTAGGCTGCGGAAAAAGGCCGCAAAAGCCTCCATAGCAGCAAGCCTGACGGCAACTGACTCGTCCGTGAAGGCTTTGGCAAATGCCATGGCCACGGCATCCTGATGTTGTTTCTCAATGATGCTAGGGGTAGCGTGGAAAATACGGAAGGCCGTCTCGCGCTTGCCAGCATCGGGCGCTTGGCTGAGGTTGAAGAGAGTCTGAAGTAGTTCTGGCCAATTTTGGTCATTGTCGTAATATTGCCTAGCAACCTCGGCAACCGCATCACCAATCTTGTTGCGAACGTTTCTGTCTGTCTCGGCAAGGATGGCCTCGAGAATCTTGTTACGGACAGCGACGGCCTCGTTGTTGTCAAGGGAAAGGAACATATCGGTAGCAGCCTCAGAGGTCGGCGTGGCTTTGCGAGTCTTGAGTGTTATCCGGCGGAAAATGACGGCGGCGAAAGAACGGACCTGCAAGGTTAAAAAAAACGAGTGAGTTATATGTGAGCAGTGACACGCTGAGGCGACCGGCCGAGCAAAAGAGAGTTGTGAAGAAGCCATACCGAAGCGTCGCTTGATCCAGCAATCTGCTCAGCCAAGCCCATCAAGAGGAGGCCAGGCCGGGAACTGGTCCAGTTGTTTTGCAAGTGCTCCTCAGCCTGAGAGCGAATGTTGTTGTCGGCCGACTGAAGAGCCTGGAGCAGCTGGCTCAGCTCGGCCGTGACATCGGCGGGAAGGACCGACATGATGAATGATGTATGATGCGAAGTAGAGTGCTAGTTGTGTCTATTTGGTGCCGTGGGGTCGGGGAGCAGAAGAGTGAACCGCAAAGCACACTGCACTCCTTACACACAATGTGTAACCCTGGGTTATCGTCGGTCGGTGGGCTCTGGAAGAGGTGGAACGTGGTTAACGATGTTGGCCCAACAACAACATCAGAACTCTCGCTAAAGTCTGATACGGATGAGGACCGGGAAAAAGGCGGACCAGGGAGGACGGACTTGAGGTGGACACGGCAACGGTGCAGATGTAGAAGCAACTCGAGTGCCAAGTTGATGATGGATTGACAACAGGCGTCGACGGTGACCGTTAATAAAACCGAGACTTGAATGAATTCAAGTCGCGATAAAGGACGCGTCCGAAACTCGACTTTGCTCCAGTCAAAGGTGGATTTGGATTGTCGAGAATTGGTGTTTGATGGCTCTAGACTGGCTCGAAAGGGTCGAGGGGAGTGAGTGGTGGGAGGGGGGGGGGGGGGGGGCGCATGGACCGTATGAAAACCGAATGGACAATATTTTTTTTTGATTGGGTCTGGGTCAACCCGAGCTCATCAATGGAGGGGGCCGAGGGGCACACGGCACTGTAGCGTACAAAAGTAGGTGCCTCTCGGCATAGCATAGGGCAGGCAGACATTCTACCTCTACTTCCCGTCACCTAGAGGTAGGTACCTAGGTAAGGTACCCCATAAGCGCCCAGGTTCCCGCCGCCGCGTCGCTAACATCCCGTTAGAGCACAGCACCATTTGCTATGTGATCACTTAGTAAATAACTATCAAGCGGCAGAGGTCCGCTAAAACTACGGAGTGGGGCAGTGGCATCTTGAGATGGCCACCGGCTCAGGCCTTTCCTTCCTCCAACCGATAGAAAGCTCCAGGGCGGCCCCAGCTTCCACAACTTGTGTGCCCAGGCTTCCACTGCCGGGTGGGTAGGGCGTCTGTGATGATCATGATCAACAACATGGAAGGGAAGCAGGACTCGGTGGTGATGGCCTAGATGAAATGTAGGTGACAGAAAATGGTGGATAGGCCTGATCTAACCCCGGGCAGTTGCCCCGCTGGATATGGATGGACCTTCATCGACAAGAATTGCGCCAGGCTGCCTTCAGTTTGCACCTCAGCCTACCTCTACTTACCTAGATCGCCTCTGGGTGCCGCGCAGCAACGGTCAACAGGTGACAGCCTCAGCCCTGTCCTGCCCTGCAGGTGACCTTACCGCCGGACACTACAGACTATTCGCACGCCTCAGTGTGAGAGTAGCCTGACATTCAGTAATGCGAGGAGGCTAGTGCTTCCCGCGCATAGGCTAGACAGGGGCAACCCCGCACCATCACGTTAAGGTATGCTCAGGATAGGTAGGTAGGTACGTGCCGCGGCTGGACCATCGTCATTGCTCTCCCGTTTCTGGACTTGAGAATCAGGCGGACGTTTCCATAGGTTCCTGTTGCTCTCGACTGGTCAATGCTTCTTGCTTCGTCAGTTTCGTTGGCAGTCGCAACAAGCCGATCTGAATCTTTCTCGTTTTGATCTCGACTTTACCTACCTAGGTATCACTGAGTGTTTGATTCCCGCCATACTACTACACTCTCCTGCCAGATATTTCCGAATTTCAGATACACTTCCACCATTACCTACCACATACTCGGTTGCGCAAAGACGGCGGCGGCAACGACTCCGAGATTGCGGACAAGCTCAAGTGAAACGCACCTACCTCTACATACATACGAAGCATACTTGTACCTTCCGAACAGCGGAACCGACTACGACGGCAGCGGTCACCTTGAACTTTTGGCAAAGATACAGTACCAGTAGTAGCTTCTCTCCGCGCATCGATCTGTTGTGAACCATCTCCAAGTGAACTACCCTAAGCTCTCTTGGTTCTTTCTTCGGTCTTATCCGCATCATCGCCGTGTCCGACGCGAGTGCTTCAAGTTGCGTGCATTATTACCCGAGAAATCCAGCAACAACAACATCAACAATAACACTAGTACCACCACATCTCGGAAACCTCGATGGAGTCCTCATCAGAAATCCCAAAATCGCCCTCTCCTGGCACGTTGGCCAGCGCCAACCCGGGCTTCCAGGTCTCTGACACTGCACTGTCCGGCGCCTCGCTCCCGTCTCCTCCAGAACGCTCCAGCTCTCAAGGCGGCAACCCCTTGTCCAAAACAACGAGCAATGTTTCGTCGCATTCGCATCGCCAGAGCTTCGCCGAGAACCAACGTCATCCGCCCCCCTCGCCACGTACTCAGAGACACCCCTCCTTCACACAGCAAGCAATTCAAGACCTGATGAACCACCCACCGCCAAACCGCCATCAAAACCCTCGCTATGTCGGCCGTGACTGGCGGGACATTGCCATTGGCGAGTTATTGCAGCCGGATGAAGTCAAATGGGCGGAACTGGACACTAGCATCCAAGAGGCCACCAAGGTGCGACAGTACCTCTGTGCCAATCTTCGTTGTTGGTTTGAACCTTGCTGATATCGTTACTTACTGTCCAGACCCTGTTTCAAAGTAGTCCGAACAATGTGGTTCTTGTCCGCCAGGACTCGTCTTCGAAGGAAGCCGTTTCTACCTTTGACCACAGCGATCTCAATGCCTACCTTTTGGCCGTGGTAGGCCTCGCAAAGCCTGAAGAAGAACAGGTTGCTCTATATACAGATATTTCGGTCAAAGCGCAGTCTCAGGAGGAGATCCCGCTACGTACCCTCCAACCCATCTTTCGCCACGAGGAACTAGTGAAGCTCCCAGCCGATTCCACTCTCGATAAAGCCATTGAAGTGTTTGGAGGTGGCATTCACCGCGTTCTGGTCACTAATAAAGATTCAGAAGTGGTGGGTATTTTGAGCCAGTTGCGCCTACTCGAGTTCTTCTGGTACGAGGCCGTCAATTTCCCCTTGATTGATCGTCTCTACACGATCCCACTGCGTGATCTTCAAATCGGGACGCAGCAAATCATTGCCATCAAGTAAGCCACCTCCGCTTTGTGTACCTAAGTTGCCCAGTGCCATGAAGTTGCTTGGCTAACATCTCCTAGCGCTGACGCTCCTCTTGCCGATGCTCTCTTTCTCATGAGCTCCGAGGGCCTGACATCCGTCGCGGTTGTGGATAACGGCCACAACGTTGTGGGAAACATCTCCACCGTTGACGTGCGCCTCCTAACCAACGCCAACAGTCTGCCCCTGCTCAAGGCTTCATGCATGCACTTCGTCAGCGTCATTCTCTCCGAACGTGGTGTCGAGCATGGCCGTGACTCCTTCCCAGTTTTCTACGTCAATCCGTATTCTACCCTAGCTCACACGGTCGCCAAGCTGGTCGCAACGCAGTCTCATCGTATGTGGGTAGTCGAGTCCGCTTCGCCGTCGCCTAGCGCCCCGGCTACACCTTTACTGCAGGCTTCCAACTTGCCTCCCCTTTCGACGTTATCACCTCCGGTTGCTTCGCCCGGCAGAGCGGGCAGTCCTGCCCCTGGATCGGCAGCTGTTGTCGTTCCTCCACCAGGTGCCATCACAACGTCGACGCCCCAGTCGCCGTCAGCACAGGGACCATTCACCTCGGTTCCGGCTTCGGCGCTGCCGGGTGCTGGACTGTCAGGGCGCTTGACAGGCGTGGTGTCGTTGACGGACATCCTAAACTTGTTTGCAAAGACAAGTGGCCTGAGGCCGTTGGATCCTAGTGAGCAAAGGGCTAGGAGAAGACGGAGCTCGAGCTGTTCAGTCCGACCTACGCTGGATACTGGGAGAGATAATGGAAGAGGAAGCGTTGATTTTCGAAGGTGATGTCCTGTATAAGTAGAAATCAAAGTTAAACACATGGACAGCTTAAGGTAGTTTCGATAATTACTTTTGTAGGTAGCAGGAGGGTGCAGTCCGATCAAGACAGCCCCGATATGCATAAAACGGAACAGCTATGGCTTGAAACAAAAGGGGATGCATTCTACTGCCTTCCCTATATCTACTTGGTAAGGCATTCGTTGTGGGTGGCTAGCTAGATTGGGATGGTTGCTGTGTCCATTCTCTATACGGGGTTCCATATGTGCCAGCCTTTCAAAGCTGCAAACTAAACCGAAATATAATACTTTTCGACTATGCAGTGGTGCCAGTATCGCGCTGGTTTCTTTCTAGCTAGTAGTATGGTTTTCCATGACTTGCATGTCACAGACTAGCACGCCATTAACCTCAGCTTATGGCAGGGCTGCTCCCTCTTTGCTCCTAGACGGTGATACCTTTCGCTTCACCTACGTCCGGGTATCCAAACACACTGCTGCTCTACCTCTCCCTTGGTCTCGGCCTCGACCTTTGATTCCCCTCTCCCCGCTTTTAGAGCGCCTGAGCCTTGTTATCCACCACCTATTACCATAAAGGGACATCGAAACAGGGTATCTATCTATGCCATGCATACCCAGGTTCCCTGAAAACGCCCCCCTCCCTTTCCCTCTCCATTAAAACACCGAATTATAGGAACAAAGCAGTACTGGTACAGGTACAACAACCCTTTCCACATTTGTGTTGTGGGCTGAGGGGGGTTTGGTTGCTAGATATAGCTCCATCATATTCAAAGCAGTCGCAAGATGCCGAACCTCCACGTAAGCACACCATTTAATCCACTCCCATGCTCTGATTCCAATCGAACTGGGGATCGTCTTCTGGTACTCCAATCCAGGCACCATCGAGCCTCGACCCATCGTCGGCTTTGAGGGCACCATTTCGTCGAGCTGTGGGCGCATGAGGACCATGTGTGAAATCCGAAGTGCTGCCGCCTTCGCCATCGTCGTGCTCGCCCTCCTCATCCGACTCCGGGAAGCTCCCCGCCATCTTCAAGCTCATCCCCCTTTCCCGCCCGCGCATATGCGGGGGCAGGTGGTCGTCATCATTACTCACATGAGAGACACTCCACCTTCTCACTGATGAAAACAGCGTTGTTGCTGCTGACGGTTTCCGTTGGGGGAAACTGCTGTTGTCCTCCGTCTCGTCCGAAAGATCCCACTGCACGGGTATCCTCTCGCCTCCCTCGCCGGATCCCAAGACCGCGCCGCTCTTTTGTCCAGCGGTGATGCGCGCCGCAACGGTGAGCATGAGGCTCATCAAGTGTGTGGGAGGCGCCATCAAGATTTCGAAGGACTTATTGATGACCGTCATGGGTAGCTTGCGCACCACTTCGAGTTTGCTGGTAGAGGGCGCCCTTCGACGAGGGGCAAACAAATCTGCAGCGCGTGGTAGAGGTGAAAGCGCTCTCCTACTTGGGGATATGCTGCTGCTTGTTGTTGGGCGGCCGCGGATGAGAGAGCGACGACTGCTGACGGAGGGAGATCGGGAACGGGAAGTCGGTGATGCGTTGGGCGACGGAGTAACTAATATCAGTCCTGTTGTTGTTGGGCTACATGGAGAGTCGATGTCATGGGTAGACGAGGGAGCTGTGCCGTGAAATGTCGAGCTGGAGGTGGCGCTTCGATCAATTGCTACCGGGCTGGTATCCGATGTCTGGGAAATGTTAGATCGATTTGCCCTATCTAACGTAAGGGTTGATGAGTCTTCCGCTGGTTCGTCTCTCTTTCCAGGTAGACAGGAAGAGCCTGAAGGAGACGTCGGCTTGGACAAGGGTGGGGAAGGGGGAAAAATATGAGAGTTGCATGATCGTACACTGTGAAAAGAGTCGCGGGAGGTTACCGAAGACAGTGATCCGGGTACTTCTGGCGCATGGCCGTCCAGTTGATATATGGATGGCTCAGTAGAGTGCGGTGCAGTGACCAACGTTAGCTGCGGGGGTGCGGCAACAGAATGACTAGTTTGCTGGCCGCTTGGTATAAGAGGGGTCCTTGTGAAATTCCGCAAAGACAACGACTCTGGCTGCTGTGGTTCCTCCTCCGGCTGACTTGAGAGTGTAATGTCGGGTACCGAAACGATGTTATGCTCCTGTATTCTAAACAGATCATCGCTGGTGGGTAAGGTTGACTGGCTTGTGGTACCAGTCGCTCTTCTCTTGCGCACTCTGATAGTGTCATCTTTAGGCGGACCTCGGTGTACACGGGCAATCTGGGCGGGTATCGTGATCGCGCTGACCGGGGTGGGAATGATGGATTCACTAGATCTCCTAGCAGGAGTCCACGGTTTCTTAATAACCGGCGTCTGCGGACGTTCGGGTAGCTCGACGGTAAAGGATCGCTGAAAAGGGCATTCAGTCTTTTCGAATTGTAGGATTTGGTCGAAAACCTCACGCAGAAGCTGCGCGCGTCGTACATCCTCCGGGTCGTCAACAGGTACCTCGATGCGCCAGTACTGGGGCCTCCGAATTTGTAGGATGAATTTGCTCGAGTCCTCATCAACACACCAAGCCTGGCTTTTTGGAAATATCGGTTGTAGGGCAGAACCGCAGTTGAGGAAGGTTATCGAGCCAGGGGCACGGTATATTCTGAAGTGTCCTGTAATGTGATATTGTCAGACTTCCGAAACCACACACGCTCCAGTTTACGGACATACCGACTGCAATGGTCCTCTCCAGATGGGAAGACCACGGCAGAGAGCCCGGCTCGACGCTGGTAGGGGTATTAGGAGGAGTGGGACCGAGGGTCGGGGGCCGGTTCCCAGCAGTAAAGGATATGATTTTGACGGAAGGGTGACTGTAGAGCGTATCGACTAGGGCATGACTTGTTTCTCCTGCTGATGTAGACGGTCTTTGGATCTGAGAGCCTATAGGAGCCGTAAAGTTGCGGCGCGGAGCCGTATCGGCGAAGGGATTCGAGAACTCCATTGTTCGCAGCTTTATGATGTCGCGGAGAGCATCGTGACGCAGAGGAAAGACGGCTAGACTCAGCACATGGAGAAGCTGCGGTCGGAGGGAAATCGGACAGTATTATACGGTACTGGTCGTCGGCGCGTGGGTGGTGTTTCCGGTCAGAGCGAGTCGCTGAGGCTGTCACAAAATGGCACGATTTAGTTCTCGATGTCTGGCCAGCCGACGTCACAGTGCTACGCTGGGTCAACGCGAAGCGCTCAGCGTCGTCGCTGGGTGGTAATGGCTTGCAGGTAGGTTTCGGAAAGCAACGACATCAACAACAACTGGTTGAAGAGAGCAAGATGGGAGTCTTGACAAAGGAGATTCTAGGGGCGGAAATCGTGGGAAAGAATTATTTCGATAAATTGGACGGTGACAGTGTTTGCACCTAGACACTAGTCTAGTAGTAGTATCCACGTAGGGAAGACGCAGCGGGCATAGGTCGGCAGGCCGGACGCTAACGCAAGGGGGAATTGGGTTAAATAATTGGAGGGACCCGCTGAGTAACAGACAAAAGCCGATTCTCGGGCTGTTTCTCATCCGTTCATAATGTCAAAGCAGTACAGTAGGTACCTAGCAATGCGCTTCGTGTCCCGTCCGGTCGGGTCATCCGATCGTTGGCGTTTATCGCGCTTGATGAGGTTTATGAGTACCATAGTAGTCATTACTACCAGATTCCACGGCGGTTGTTAGGTAAGTAGTGTAGATAGCCATCTGTTTGTGCTTAACAAAGCCAGGGGGAACAGTGTATGCCGTGCGGATAACGTCTTTTTTTGGCTTAGCGCGACGTCGCCGGAGCCTCCGAGCACGGTCCACAAAGCGGGCACGGTGGGCTGTTGACATCATATTTTGGCATGTGCAAAGACCGGGGCTCGAGGTGTCAGCTCTTCCCGTCGCGCAGTCCCAGGTCCTCCCCTCCACCCGGCGTTTGTCGCAATCATTTTCATCCGATCTAAATACTCCAAACGACTTCGGTCATCGTCCACACGAACGGGACACATCCATCTATCTACACCCGATAGTCCATCGATCGCCATGGCCACCGCCGACAGGCTCGAAAGGCGGCAGTCCTTCGACGTTGTAGCCGAACAAGTAAAACGAAAGTTCGACATCTCCCACTTCGACCTCAATGCCATTATCAGAGGTGCCCAGCTGACGCTTGTTGGTGGTATGTTTTAATCCCGTGGTGCGCCTGTCTCCCGGGTCTGCCCACATTGCCTACCTAGGTACTGACATCTTGCGCCTACATAGCCCAACGGGCGCTGCAGAATCCCGGCATCTTCACCTCACGACACTACAAACAGGCCGCCATTGCTGTAGCTGCTGGCATTCTCATCCGCTTGCTCATATCCATACCTGTATGGAGTTCCTCTCTCCCCGCCCATATGGGTAGCTTGCGTATGCTTGCTTATTCTGACACTTCTTTTCTTAGATCATCGGCATCAGGGTCCTACTCTGGTTCCTGTCCTTTGGGATCGATCTACGCAATGCTACCTGGGACGACAAATTGGTGGGCGGGCTTGGCTTTGTTGAGGAACATGTTCTCCAAGCCCCCCTGTTTTTTATGAGTTTGATGCGATATGTCACTCCCACGTTGGATGATCTGTATGTTCCCATATGGCGTACTTCCACTTCTCAGGAGAGTCTGTTAACCAGCTGCTCCATAGATTCATGGACTCAATCCGATGGGTAGACACAACCTATGTCAACAAGCATAAGCACGACGAGGATCCTAGCAAGCTCCGACCCATGTACTACCCGAACCTGCGCCAGTACTCGGTCAGAGACGGCACCACGAACTCGACAAGCACCGCTGAGAATATCTCCATGTTTATTTACCGGTTCGCCAGGAAAGGCGCCATTTCGCTCGCCGTCTTTGCGGCCTCATACCTGCCTTATGTTGGCCGCTTCGTCCTTCCGGCAGCCAGTTTTTGGACATTCAACAGGGCAGTAGGTCTTGGCCCTGCCTCCGTCATCTTCGGCACCGGCATCCTCCTGCCGAGGAGGTACCTCGTTATCTTCCTGCAGAGCTACTTTTCCTCAAGGAGTCTTGTGAGGGAGCTGTTGGAGCCGTATTTTGCCAGAATCCGGTTCACTAGTGAGCAAAAGAGAAAGTGGTTCCGCAGCCGTGAAGGTCTCCTGTTTGGGTTCGGTATTGGATTCTACATCTTACTCCGTGTTCCTCTTCTTGGAGTCTTGATTTATGGCGTTGCTGAAGCTGTGAGTTATCCCACCTCAAGCCTAGTCATGTGTAGTGCTAATTCGATGATACAGAGCGCGGCCTATCTGATCACCAAGGTATCCGACCCGCCTCCGCCGCCGTCAGAGTCCAGCGGGTTCGCCGAGAGCCAACTCGAATGGAGGAACAAGCAGAAGTTCCTCAACTTGTCGTTGGCAAACATGGACAGCATCCATGACAAACCGCCTCCGTATTCGATCCATGACCCGAACCCTAAGACGGAACTCTGATTTGTATCTTGGCGACTTTGCCAGGACCCACACCTAACATCACTGGTGTAAGTTGGCATATGAAACTACAAAAGCGACTCCAGATCCTATACATCACAGCCTGCCCAAGCATAACTTGAATTGTATCATTACATAGACTATTGTCCCTTCTTGTCATCTGGAAACTGCATGTAGTTGAATTTCGTCAAGTAACGATGTAAGCAAGAGTAAACTACACATTCCATGTAGGCCTATATAAGGGATTCTATGACAAAAAGCATACACTCACATGTTCATGGATCCATAGATAGGCCAAGACTATTACGACTCGCGCAATATTTGAAAGTCCAAATGTCTCTATCGGGATGCCTCTTCCCTATCTTATCGCAAATTGCCGTCCATAGTAAGTGCCGGGACAGGACGGGAGTAGCTCGGCTTGGATTGAGGGGCGAGCGGGGCACTCTTCAAGGTCGGGAACAACGCGGGTGTCATTCGGGATATGATAAGGTCATCGACATTTACTTATCTCCAATGGATTCTCCTTTGGCTCGATCCAACAATATTGGTGACACCAATCGCCCTTAAAGATTTGGTAATTGCGAGCATACTAGTCCTGTTGATCAGCGTTTCCAAGAGGAACTATCGAAACTGCTGAGATATCTGGAAGCCAAGTACCGCACCGATATCGCCAACAAGATGCGGGGGTTTAGCAGGGAAATCGTCTATGACCTTTGTAGCCATTGACGATGATACATGGGTAGGTGATTATGCTAGAGAAGAGGAATAAGATTGTACATATAAATACGACATCCTCTCTACGAGATATGAGCTTACCTTTTGTTACCTGCTTAAAATTCTGCCCTTAAATCTCATCTTCAACATCGGGTTCCCTGCGAGCACTTTATGCCAGATACTGACTCGTCACTCTCCACTGTACCTACCATTTTTCAGTCAGAAACAACAAGGAAACAGACAGACAATATGGGCAAAACCGAGATCCGAACCGTCTGCAAAGTCGACTTTGACAAGCCCGCCTCCGAACAGCCTCAACTTCATGTTAGTGATTCCGTCTCTTTCTATCCAAACCTTGTCAGACAAGTCAAGATTCCAAAACTGACAAAACCGTTCTACCCTCTTCCCACCCTTAAACAGAACAGATGGCACCCAGACATCCCGTTCGCCGGCTCCATCAAGGACGGCGAAACCGTGAAGATCGAGTGCGTCGACTGGACAGGCGGACAAATCGGCAACAATGATTCGGCAGACGACATGAAGAACGTCGATCTGACCAAGATCCACTACTTGTCTGGCCCCTTTGAGGTCGAGGGCGCCCAGCCGGGCGACTTGTTGCTGGTAGAGATCATGGATGTGCAGCCGTTCCAAGACCGGCCATGGGGCTTTACGGGTATCTTTGATAAGACGAATGGGGTATGTTCCTCTTTCTCTCTTTTTTCCTTCCCCTCTTGGTGTTGGTGGAAGTAAAACTGTTGCTGACTGAGAGAGTGGCACAGGGCGGCTTCCTAGACGAAATCTACCCCTCAGCGGCCAAAGCCATCTGGGACTTTGAGGGCATCTACGCCACCTCGCGCCACATCCCCGGCGTCAAGTTCGCCGGCTTGATCCACCCGGGCATCATCGGTTGCGCTCCCTCGGCCGAGGTGTTGGCCACGTGGAACAAGCGTGAGGGCGAGCTGGTGGCTGCCAACAAGCTCGCCGATCGCGACGTGGCTCATCTGCCGCAGCCCATCAACACGCACGCCGGCGCGGCTAACAAGGAAATTGCTGAAAAAGTGGCCAAGGAGGGTGCGAGAACGGTCCCCGGAAGGCCGGAGCATGGAGGGAACTGCGACATCAAGAACTTGAGCAGGGGATCCAAGGTGTACCTCCCCGTCCATGTGCCCGGGGCCAAGTTCAGTGTGGGTGATTTGCACTTCTCGCAGGGCGATGGCGAGATTTCGTTTTGTGGCGCTATTGAGATGGCCGGCGTGATCACTATTAACTTCAAGGTGATCAGGAACGGGGTGGAGGGTATGGGGCTCAAGAGCCCCATTTACATCCCGGGTCCGGTCGAGCCTAGCTTTGGACCAGGCAGGTATATCTACTTTGAGGGGTTCTCGGTTGATGAGCATGGGAAGCAGCGTACGTTTTTGTCTCTCCCCCCCTTCAACTATCCCAGTCCCACCCATTACCGTCATCAAACTTCGGTGCTGACTACGCATGCTTCCGACAGATTACATGGACGTAACAGTCGCCTACCGCCAAACCGTCCTGCGCTGCATCGAGTACCTCCGCCGCTTTGGCTACTCCGATTACCAGATCTACCTGCTGCTCTCGTGCGCGCCCATCCAGGGCCACGTGGCCGGCATCGTGGATGTGCCCAATGCCTGCACAACGCTCGGTCTGCCAATGGATATCTTTGACTTTGACATCTCCCCCGCCGCGGCGCTCAAGGCCGGAGAGACCAAGAGAGATCTAGGTAGATGTGCGTTCGAGACGGGCGTTACTGAAGGGAAGGTCACGAACGGAGGAAAGAACAGTCAAATTAGCTTTGGTGGTGGGTTGACTTATAAGGAGTAGAGGAGGAGGTAGGGGGTGGTGTGAGAGAAGTTTTGGCTGTAGGATAGGTAAGCATAGCTAGTTGATGAAAATGAGTTGGTGAATTTTTGTTGGAGCGCATTTTCCAAACGACTATTTCCTGTTCCACGGCTTCTGAAAGACGGACCGTAGATTTGGGTGTAAGTACACACACATGATGAATGAAACGGAACAAAGTCACCACCAGATCTTTGTGAAAGTGCGAAGCGAGCGAAAAAAAAAAAAAAAAAAGATAACGGCCAGAAACCGTGGTGGAAGGAGGCAGATGAAACGCAAGAAAAAGGTACATTTATTACCTACCTATGTACCGTAGTTCCTGTCTCCACGATCTTCGCTAGCGCCCGAAGGGAATCCATTCGTGTGGACATTTGACAGAAGAAAGTGGGGATTGATTGACTACTGCAGGGAGGGATCAGATGGATGTTTTGAGAATGCGGAAGCCTGGAGTTGTCCATGTTCAACATTCATGCCTCCTTTCCTCCTACTCGACGACATTTTCCATTTCTTGACCTTGCCATCTCCCAAAAGTCAATTTAAATCATCCTGCCGACTGTGACTGTGACTGAAGGAAACTACTGTTGACATCAGTATGTTCTCCTCAGCCCTGCCGGCACGGCAGTCCACGTGCCTATCTACGCAGGGGAGACACGAATTTTCAGACGAGGACATCAGAGATACTATTTGTACTGATACTAGTCTCTCGCATCTTTATTGCCTTTCAATGCAAGACATACCTATCAAGCTACCCGACGGCGAGGAGGTGCAGCTTCAAGTTAGGCCTTTCGCCTGTGTCTCAAAAAAAAATCGGGAGCACCACCGCTGGACACCAATGAACACTTGACTGGACTGGTGGAGGCGAATGGGGTTAGGCAGCACAATTCTCTACCCTTTGATACGCCATTCGGCCCAGGTCCGGCTCCTTTCACCCATTGTTGCGTAGTACAAGTTATGAAACAATGAACATCATGCTGGCTACCAAACGCCCGATGGCCCACCATGGAAGGCCGTGTGCGCCGCAGCTTGGCTTGGTTTCCTCCCAAAGAACCATACCTCAATTCATGACAGTCAAGCTGCCCTCGGAGAAAAACAGTCAATGATAGGCTCAGGATGACATGACAGTTGTTATGTTTCCTAAGATGTGCTGCCATCCCCTTCTTTCTTTTCTTGATTTTCTTTCTGTGTTGGGCGTCGATATTTAGGCTTCATGCAGACTAAAATGTGGATCGGGAGAGGGGGGTGGCAGTGAAATGACATGGTAACAACGAACAAACCCGGGACCTTCTCCCCTCCCTCTTGCGAGTATGAGATGTGATGGATAAGAATATATTGAGGTGATGATAAAAGAAATTTAGGGAAAAAACTTGAAGAAAAGGAAAAGAAAGAAAGGCAGAAGACGAGCAAGATGAAGGAGAAGAACGCATCATTTTTTCTTGATTGAGCGCAGAAAAGAACATGATATTGCACTCTTCCGGATCTAGCTACTATTTCCCAGTACAGCTTCGGCTTTACACGGTCCCTTGCGTTGACGACCGTGTGAAAAGGTGTCCGGAAAGAAAATACCAATAAAGGTGTAAGGGACAGCAAGAAAAAGGTATGCCAAAACGCCTAACCATGAATACCCATCTGTGATTACAGTCATATTTTTTCCCCCACTACACATGCTCCAAGGCCCAAGCATATCTCCATTTGGATTACTTGAGTGTGTCCTAAGCATTTACTCCGTAAAAAGGCTATGTTCCTGCATTGCTCTGGTCGTCAACGGGCCCTTCAGCAAGACACGTAGGAACACCAAATATCATCCACACAAATCCCTGGTAGTCAACCATAACTCCTCCGACCTTGTCGACATCGAACGGTGAAGCGAATGGTGAGACTGTGGTGAATTGAAGGCTAGTGTCGAGTACTCGGAAAGAGGCGAAACAATCTCGCATGCAGCGATGCTGGGTATCGTACTGGGTATCTCCTCCCGCAATGGCGTATTGTTGCTGTTCGCTACCGCCCAGCCGAGTGATCTTGCGGAGATCCTTTTGTCGAGGGATGGCGGTTCTTCGGTTGGAGCTGGTAAGATCATGCTTCGACGTTGCCCTTGATTCCACCACTGGTTTTCAAAGCCGTTGTCCACCGTCACCATTGCTGCTGATAATTCCTCTAGATGTCGTACACTGCCCGGCTCGGGATCTTCGCAATCTTGTAATTTGCTTGGTCCAGGCGAGAAAACAGAGATGCCTGTGACAGGGCTAGCTTCGTAGATGGACGCTTCATTATCCGGATGGAAACTAGGTATGCTGTGCTGACGGTGATGGCCCGATGGGTGGTCGGAGACATCATCACTCTGTGAACCCGCCCCTGTTTCAAAAACCGTTGGTGAAGACCATGGCATACCGGCCTCTCCGAGACGAAACCGATTTGGGGCCGCTGGCAGGGCTTTCCAAACATCCGACGGAGGACGTGGGGACAGCTCTGATATTGAATTCGATGGTCCCGCCGCTTCTTCCCCCGCCAATCCTACACCCCAGGGGTTATCACCGGTAGGTGGTGGTGCCGATTGACCCCTCTCACCAACAGGTCTCGACCCGGACCGGGACCGTCGTTGCTGCTGCCGGGGTGGCGTTGATGGTTGAGCTGGACCATAATATCCGGGTACTTGATAGTACTCCTGCATTTGGTGATGGGGGCCAAGACAAGTGCCCGGTATCGAAGCAATAGGGTCGATCTGTGAAAGTGGACGAGCAGCTTTCCGGCTTTCTCGGGTCCTCGATTGCCTTTGCTCGAAATCATGGACGGCGGCTAGGTAGGTGGGATCAGGGGCGGACATTTGACGGGGAAGCTTGGGACCCGGACATTGCTCTTTCTCGCGCGCTGCCTTTGATCCTCTTGATCCATATGTCACTTCATGGTGCTTGTGTTGTTTCTTTGAAGTCCACGAGATGCCAACCTCCAGATGAACATAGATATGCGGTCCTCGACGTTCGCGGTATGATGGTGATGAAGGTCGATCCATGATCTTGTCCAGACCTCGGCGAACTGTACCAGCTGGTGAAGCAATGTGATTGACGATGAATTCAAAATACGAGGAGGATATCAGAATATGTGTAAGGGAGTGATTAAAGCCTCAGCAAGCGTCGTTGAAGCGGGGGTAAGGGGGTGGGTGAGTTTAAAGAATGGGAGGAGGAGCAAAGCTAAAGCCAGCGGCAGGTCAGCTAAGCCGCCCGCGACTCACAAATACAACAAAGAAGGTTTCTGTTGGGTTGGTGCAGTCTCCTGTGATGGTCAAGAAGTGCTCCGGGGATAACGGGCAGGCGGCGGTCAGGGCAAGGATTTGTCAATGAGCCAGGGACAAAAGTCCATCCATCTGTATCATCAAGGTATGGCTGTGGGGAGTAGTGTAATCCAGATCTAGTTGCATGCACCGCCCAGATCCCGTAAGATGGAACGGAGCTAGAAAAAGCGGCAGCCTAGACTAGTGATGTCGATGTCGGACAATTCCCGGATGACCGAACACTGTTTGTTGCCGCGTCCGAGCGGACGGGTCCAATATCGGGCAATTGTTGCACTTTTTTTTCTTTCTTTTCTTGCTGTTCCTGGATCAAGACTTGGATGTCGAAAGCTTCTTTGTTGCGGTGTCGCCGTGTGCTCTCCGAGAAACTGTGCCGTCCTGGTGATAGATAGAACGCGCTGCCTGGTTTCGCGGGAGACAGCCAACTGAAGCTCCTCGGCCTGGTGAACTGTGGCTACCTATGAGGAAACCTAAGTAGGTAAGTACTAGTGCTTAGTTATCAGACGACTGCGAAATGGCCACCCGTGACAAGCACAGCTCTTGCTTTGTGATTGCTTTTTGCTGGTCCGAGATAGTGGCTTGCTTTAGATAGCGGCGGAAGGAATGATGACCCCGCCCTCTTCCACTCATCTCTAAACTTCTTCCTATTTGCGAGTACGATCTGGCTGCGTCTCGGGCGGGTTCAGGTCGTTACCGAATGCGGGGCAAATTGTTGTATTTAAGTTGGGACAGGAGGCACGAGAAAGGTAGTGTGTACACAGTAGTGTCGGGTTCGCTACCTGGTTTCTTCCATCCTTGATTAACCCCCCACCATATCAAAACAGAAAGATCATCCCTAGCCGACAAGTTATGGACATCGACCCGATGTTTGCAATACATACCCAAGTGGCCAGGTTTCACGAGAATCTGTAATGCTACAAAAACATGGTCGTCGAGAGATGAACGTGGTATGTACATATCGGCCACTACCGAATGTCCATTCCCACACTCAATCGCCTGTGCAGTCTTGGTAAGAGGTGTGTGTGCGCGCACACACACACACACACACCGCACTTCTGTATTGTACAACTTCGTTAAAATTCATTATTTTACAATAATTTCTACATCAATTTAAAGCCATTTCAACGTGCAAAGTAATCACAACACTAGTAATTAATTAAACCCATCGCAATAATACCTCCTAAAATAATCCTTAATTTAAAATCCGCCGGCGTAAAGCGATTCTATATTTAAAATAGCGCATTAATAGTCTATTTCAATAAAGATTAAAATTAGGAAGATCCTAGCTTAATAATTCTATAACGCGCCTCCTTCCGCCCTAGAAAGAAGAGCCGTAAAACTAAATAATTTATTAAAGTTATTCCTAAGATTATTCTACCTAAAAAGAAGGTTATTCCTATTAAAATTATCATTAAAATTATTATTAAGACCGTTACTAAGAAGACCGCCGTTAAAATTACTATTAAGAAGGGGAAGGTTATTACGCTAGAATTAATCCTAATCCTAGTCCTAGAACCACCGTTATTCCTCCTTAAACTTACAATATCCGTTAAAATTTTTAATAGTAAAGAGGATATTAACAACGATAATAAAGTCGAATAATAGTTCTCCGTCCATTTTATTCCTAAGAAGTAGGTTCTTAATATTTTATTTTATTTATTAGGCAATAATAACAATAAGGTAGTTTCCCTAATTAAACTAATTGCTTCAGCACTACCGGTTTAGCCCTACGCCGTTTGTAAGCCGGTTATTATAGTACTACTACCGCTACGTTTTAAATACCCCAACTTAATACAAGTTTAATTTAATATAGTCAGTTTATATATTATTACTAGCCGTACTAAATTATCCGCTATCGAAGAACGTAATTTATTTAAAAAGGTTAAAGTTGAGTAAGATAATAGCGAATTTTGTAAGTGGCGGTTTAGGACAATATTATTTAGTAAAATTCTATATATATAGCGAGGTTATATAGAAGATATTATTAACGATAATATAGCTATAGGGATAAAGTAGTTAGTTTCTTTATATAATGTTATATATATTACTACTACTTATAATAACCGTCGCGCCCGGGTTATTATATATAATAAGATTGTTCTTAGGAAGGATTTTTATAATAAGTATAATAATATTAAATATAAGATTCTTATAAAGTCGTACCTCTATTATATTAGCTAATATTATTATTTTACTATATTATTTAAGTTTCGGTTAACCGACCCGCCCGCTAGTGAAATCCCTATTACCTTATCTTCCTATAGTAATATACCCTCTACTCCTACCCCCTTTCGTAATTTAATTAATTCTTTCGTTACTTTAATTCTATAAACGGTCGATATATTATTATTACAAGGGTTACGGATTTTAACCGGTATTAAGAAGTTTAAATATATTACAATAAATATTATATTAGTAGAAGTTGAAAAGAATTTAGAGGAGGATTAGTAGCGAGAGGAATATACGGGGGTAAAGCTACACAGTATTATATATTAGGAGTTAGTATAAGTATAGGCGTACAATCTTAACTATAAGTATAAGAATTATAATAAAACTATTAAATATTAAATATACTACATTATAAATAAGAATATAACCTATTATAATTTTAATATTAAAAATATAGGTAAGTAGGTACGTACTATATCGTTGGGGAAGGTTACAGTAGTTAACCCGCTATTTGAATTAATACGAAATATATTAAATAATAAGATAGTAACCGCTTTTAGCATTAGCGATAGTAATAGTAAATATAGGGGAGGAAGTAATAGTCTACTAATTAATATTAATATTATTAATAATATTAATAGCAATAATAGTAATATTAATATAGAGATTATAAATAGTTTATTGTAAACTACGTTAAGGAGGGACGATTTTAAAAGTTTATACTAATTATACCCTCCTCCCCTATACTTACTATACCTATTATTATATTAATACTTTCCTTCCTACTTTTAATATTCTTAAATTTAGCTATTTTATACCGCCGGCGGTTTTATTACTAATTCGGTAATTACTAGCGGTTATAATTATAATATAGTAGGCGTTTTCCCCCTATTAAGTAAAATAGTAATTATCAATTCGTATACGCCGTTAAAGTATTTTATTATTATATTTTATAAGTACCCGACCGACTACGAAACTTTTATTACTAAGTGCACTAACGCTAACATTAATCTTCCTTCTATTTTTATAGCGATTACGGTTTTTATTTAGCTACCGGTACTATTATTAATTGTATTACCATTAATAGCAGGCAAGGAAGATAAGGGTAAAGAGATTAGAAATTCCCTAGTAGAAATTAGAGAATTCTCTATACTACGTCCGCCTATACCTTCGATTTTCAGTCTTCGTTCATTACTACTACCCTCCGCCCTACTTAGTTAACCAATTAAAGAGATTATTATTGAATTTTTTAAGGTATTCTATAAATGTTATTATATTAGATTATTAATTAAAATAGTATTAATATATAGAATTTTAATTACTTTAAGGAATAAATTCCGGAATAAAGAAGCATTACCCAATATATTTATATTTAGAGAGTAGCCAGTAGAGTAATTTACGAGACTAGGGTTTAATTACGACCTCTATACAATATTTAGGGACGGTATTAAAAATTTCCTTAAAATTGAGTACGCGGTACTAGTAATATAGTTAAACTATAGTAAGTATACCCTCTAACCCCTATTACTATAATTTAATTAACTAGTATATACTCTAGATTTGCAATTTAATATTATATTCGAGTATAGCGTTATTAGAACTCTCGCTTCTATAGCGGGCAATACTATTACTAGCGGTCCTAGTAAGTAATAATAATATTACGAATTGATTTATAGCAAAAGAGGGGGGTTTTTAGTATTTTAGTATTATTATATAGATAAATACGATTTTTGGTACTTTTAGCACTTCTAGTATTTCTAATATTTTTAGTATTTTTAATATATAATTTAATTTAATATATATAAATCTTCGAATCCCGCTCCCTCCCCCTCTTTCATCCGGTTTTTCGGCCGGATCGGATGAAAGATCTTCCCCGCTGTCGCTCCACTGAGCGCTCTTAGAAGAAGAGCATTTACAGCGAAATCAAATGTGGGGGCCCACCCTGGTCCAAAACCCTAGGTGCACGTAACTGGGCACGTGTTAAAAATCTCATCCCAATCGAAGACGCGCCGGCCTCCCCCGCTCCGCCAATAGGGTTTAGGAATTAGAACCCTACCTCCAAAATCCATTCCAGAGCCACGGTTCCGCTTGGATAGAACCCGTCCGGTAATACGACAATTAACTAATTATATTATTTTACCAATTCCGACAAAAAATCGAAGATTCCGATTACGAAAGTAAGACCCCACTTCCCTACCCCTACCCTAAAGATAGGATAAAAGAAGAATACCTATTTCCGGAATAAAAAACGTTGCCGAAGCGTTGGGTAGGGAGTAGGGTCTAAAGGACCAATTAGAAGTAACGAAGTCCACCGGGACTAAAGAGATAGTATACCGAGAGAAGATAAGACGAAAGAAGCAACTACGGCTCCCCGGGCCCCCTATAGTAAAGTAGAACGAAGGGTTCGGGTTAGGGTTAGAGTTAAATATAGAGAAGCTGAGGGTTTTCATCCGGATTTCAACAACACGGTTTTTCCCTTAGACTACAAACGAAGCAGTACCGCATACCCATTGGGTAGACTAGTATAACTAGTTAGTGTGATAAAACAATAAATAAATATATATAAATCTATTTCTCCCTTTTATATTTTCTATTACTACTTAAATATAGTACCCGTCTTTTTATATTCAACTAGTTCGTTAGTATACAATTCGCTATATTCTTTATTAATATTATTAAATCGATCTATTACTAATTTTACGTTTTTGAAATAGCTACGGATCTATTGTACTTTATACCCTATATCTTATATTAGTCGCTTAAAAAACGTAATAAAATTGTTGTTTAATATTTTATTACCGCTTTTATTACAATATACCCTTTTGAATTACCGTTTAAAGTTACTAAAATATATTTCAATAGAGTTAAATTCGGGAAAGTACAGCGGTAGATACTATAATAGAACCCCCTTTTAATTGTACGTATATTGGAATTCGGTATAGGGGTGCTAATTAGTATTATTTATTATTAAAATATTATTACAATTAGGAAATGGATTTATTTTAGGGAATAAGTATTTTACTATTTAGTTTTAAACTCCGGCCAAATCCGTTATATTTTTAAATATTAATATATTAAATAGTTTATTTACTATAATAGCTAGGAGGAAGTAATATTGCGTACCGTATACGAATTTGCTTAATACTATCGCGATAGCGCTGCAGGGTACCTAGCTAGTACGACGAGTACTATCCCTTTAGTCTATACTAGACTCGTTATAAAATACGAATATTTCTATAATAAATAAAGAGATTTTTAATATTTATTCGGTTATTAGTATAGGGGATTATTATAATATTTTTATATAGAATCGCTTCTTCTTCTACTTTTCCTATCGAAAGTACCGCTATACGGTTTTAGTTGAAATATGTATGTTATATTCGTTGGCTAGAAAGGTATAAATTTCGTTGAGGTATAAATCAGATTTTAATACAAGGAGGTTTATAATTTCCTATATAATATTAATTATAATTAATAAAGTATAGGGAGTAATATAGTATACGCTTTACTTTAAATACCTATATAGGAAGCTTTCTAGTATTTTAGGAAGTTTGCGATAGTAAAAATACTTTATTAGTATCCGATAGAATATATTTATATTTTTATGTACTCTTTATATTTATATTAATAGTTTTAGCGATATTATTGGAATGCTCGTTATTTACTAATATTATTATTATTAATACCTTTTGGCGGGTATTAGGGTAGTATACTATATCGATAACGGTTTAAAAGATAATGTAAATATTAAAATAGATAATTATACGATGTAGAGTATTAAAATATTGACTTTTTGCACTAGTTTTGGCTAGATTTCGATGTTAAACGATTGAGTTGAGTCGTGTAAAGCGATGTTAAATGGCTAGATTTGTTAAATGCGGTGTGTGTGTGTGCGCGCACACATACCTCTTGCCAAGACTGCACAGGCGATTGAGTGTGGGAACAATCAATGCTCGCATTCAGCTTGTAATTGTGGGGTGGGGATCGCTTCCCCCCGTCCCGGACGACCGGCCCCCAACACCTCCGACGCTCCCCCGTTCTCTCCGGCTTTGCTCCACAGTTTGTCTCGAATGGCCGGCAACCCTCCGGATCGACACTTCTTCTTACCTCCATCTAGGTACCTATATTTCATGCCTTAGATGGAAGGCTTGGCTAGTATGCATTGTCCCTGATATCCTAATCGTATACCCCTACATATATGTTCCTCACCATGCTATGCTGCAGTTGGTTCTTGATTTCACGTCACAGTCGGCATTGCTCATTTCAATTACCTTACACTTCGCATTTCACCCCAGACTGGAAAGGGAATCTGAGCTCTGTCTGAGAAATGTTTCGTAACTCGGTTACTCTTCGGCGAACAATGATCACATACAGTTGATCATCTCGGCAACGCGTGAGCCTTGTAAGTGATTCACTCGATGTCTTCAGGTATTCCTCCGGTTTTCTTTTAACACATGGCCGATGCGAAATGTCCCGATAAAGGCATACTGGTCGCGACGAACGGCCGGAGAAAGCAAACTATTCATTTAGATCCCACGTGAATGCTTAGCGCCAGGAATGATGAGTAAACATTGGCACCGTTGAGCTGGGCGGAGGTGTGGCGTTCGCGGCATGGCTATGTGCGGTTGCTGATTATTTCGTGCTAGGATTGGGTAGAGAAATCTATCTAGAGACAAAAAAAGGAAAAAAAAAAAACGACAATGGCTTCCACAAAGCTTCCATCCCAGAAATCTCGGACTCGACCGACTGACATGCTCATCTCGCCGCTTCAACATCCTCATTGACATAATCCTTAGCCTTGACCTTTTGGCTTTCCAGCTTGTCAGCTTCGTGCCCGCCATCCTCCTCCTCCCAAAACTTTACGTTACCATCCCCTTTTCCCCTGATCAGCCCTCCCAGATTGAACGGATCAACTAGCGTCAACAAGAACGGTCTCGAGTCCTTGTATCCCGGCCCAGTGACCTCGGTCTTGCCGTCTCTTACCGACAAATACGTCTTTGTGCTTTTCGGCAGGTACCTCCTCGGATGCCTGACGTTCATCAGCACATGGTTCACAAGCATCAGACTCGCCTCAAACACGTAAAAGAACCACTCGTAACGGATGATGGGGCTGAGCGACATCGGGTCCAGAGATTTGTCGTCGTAATGAAGGTCCGCCACGCTCCAGTACTCGACCACCCGGTAGACGGTCCGGATGGTTAGGAGGCTTGTTGATGCGTAGAGCGTGTAAAGAACGTTCTCGAGCTTGGCGCTCCTAATGCCGCCTCGACGGCACCGCCTGTGGAATGTACCGGCTAGGAGAAGGAAGAAAGCGATAACGACGAGCTGGATAAGGAGCGCGGCTTTGAGGAGGTTCCGACCAAGCTCTTGTTTCCAGCGCGGAAGAGACTGGTTGGCGCTTAACGATGCACCGTTGCCGTTGAGTGCCTCGACAACGGTGGAGATGAAGGCGAAGGTAGTGATAACGCGGCCAGGATGGATCGGTGAGTGGTAGGGGACGTAGTACAGAATCCTTCCGAGGATGTTATAATTGGCCAATTCGGCGCTGGGTCTGATAAGAGGTTAGCAATTTGTCTTGACAGCAACTCTCGCGTTGATCGTCGATACTCACGGCGCTGCGTATACCAGACAGGTGGTGACGATGAACTTGACCAGATCACCATAATCAAATGCACCAAGTTCTCTAACAATGAAGCCGGCAGTGAAGAGGACAGCGCATGTGACGTAGAAGGTGGTTAATCTCCAGCTTTTGTAGTGACTAGCGTGATCAAAGTAAGCACCTTGTTTTTCTCCCGAACTGTGTGGTATCAGAACATAAAGGCTTACAAGCACTGATAGATATGACAGATGCCAGATGCCGCGAAGGCAACGGCAAAGAATACTGGAGCGCCCTTATTGGGGGCATAGAAATAGATACTGCCGTCAACTTGAAAGAGATCCTGTCAGCTGCGCTCTTAGCATGGTACATGGAACATTTGGTAACAAACCGTATCTTCCGTCCGACATAGTGAGGAGAGTTTCCAAGCAAAGTCCGAACGTGGCAAGTATTTCTTCGAATGTTCACTGGGGTTATTGTAAAATGACATCCATATCAAGAGCAATGCAAAGACTTTGCAGCCTTTTTATGGGTTTTCGCCGTGGGTTTCGCATCTCAAACTGCACATATCTCGACCTCATTCTCAACTAACCCCCTGGTCGGTTTAGTCGATTTAGTCGCTTTCGTCGCTTTCGTCGCTTTGCGCCCAAATTCAGCCATCAGCACAGCCTTACCGTAGGTAGTCATCATATACATCGCATTGGTTCTTCATGTTGGACGAATGAGGTGATCACCTTGCAAGCCAGGGGTGAGATTTCCCTCCGCAGATTGTGGATTACTGTGGCTGTACAAGGCAGTTGAATATAACTAGTGTAGTAGTTCCGTGCTTACTTACATGCCCTTTCCGCCTTTTTCGTTCGCAGAACCCCGTCAATTTTTGTTCGTAATTTGTTCAATCCCGGTTGACGTTGTAAGCAATTGGTTAAGTAGTGGTTGAATGCGAGGATGCGCTGTTCGTTCGACAACGGTTTTTCTTACTAGCCATTATGGAAATTCTATGGGCCAGCTAGCATACAACCTGGATAAATCGAAGCGCATGGTCACTTGTTAGATGAAGCGAAAAGCGGTCTTAAGTTGTTTTGAATGTGATGACGGAGGATAAGAAAAAAATCGCCTTCAATCTTTGCAGGCATGCCTCTAGGCTCGGCAATGTGATGGGCACAACGAGCAATATCACTGAAACGTTTCCTTCATGTCAGATGCCTGACCGAGAACCGGCTCAATGGAGACCGTCGTTGGCCTCCTGAGTTGCCAGCCAGGCTAGGTAGACGGCGCAAGATTCTGAAAACAGTCCTCGAGTTATACCGTCCTCCAAACGACAAAAGTCTTCACTACCCAGATTCTACAACAGCCCTGCCTGTGAAATGGGAATAAAATCATCTAAACCACAAAGCCCTACTTGATGAAACGCCGCCCATATAGCCCTCGTGGTAACAAACAAACGCCTTTGCCCATTCTTCGACCATGGGGAATAAATCGGGCAGTAAGTAAGAAATAGCAACGCAATGTGAAAACCGCCTTAGCGTCCATGAGTTGAGACTGGCCTGCATGCAATGTTGGAAGAAGTAGCCGCTTTCACATCATATCAATCTCAGTGGTCGTGTTCCGTGGACGACCATTGTCTGTCCAAAGGCCCACGGCAGCATCGGCCTCCTTGTGGGTGTAGGGACCCTCCTTGAGCTCCTTCAACCTGTTTTTAGTCCAGCCACGTCAGTTTTCAGACCGTTCAATGGCTCACATCAGAAAAAAAAAAAAAAAAAAAAAAAAAAAAAAAAAAAAAAAAAAACAAGAGAACTGACCTCCTCTTGTGAGGCTTGCCCTTGGTGTGCTTGACAAGAGTCGATTCCATATCGAACCACTTGGCGCATTCGACGCAGTAGTGTCTGCCCAGACCAGGCAGGTCCTCCACGGCCTTGGTCTCCTTGTAAAGCTCCAAGTGTCTGGCATTGATCAAATCCTTCTGGACCTGATCGACATCTCTGTTTTTTGCACGACGTCAGTCATCCAATCGACGCAAAGATGTGTGTAAACAATGAAGTCAGTCACTCACCTCAGACGACGCCTGGTCTTGCACTTTGTGCGCTTAGCAAAGATGCCCATTTTGAACGGTGAGTGACCTCGGTTGTACCCGACTTTAAATGTGTCAGGATGGAGTTGGAAGTCTAAATTCCAAGTGCGATTACTGTGACGGCGTGGTGGTTGTTGTCGTCGTCGCAGTGAAGGTCTCGACGACGGCGGCGATACATAGACATGAGAGAGGCTCTCATACAGAAGGGGTCCAGCAACGAAGCACAATTGACAAAAAAGTGGAGAAAAAACTCAGCAGCACAACACCTGCGAACGACGGCGGCCTGCCTTTGCCGCCCACTGAATTGGAACTTGACAATTTCATGGCTTGGCAGCTGTAAAGGCCAGCTGTCAGCTTTCCGACACCTGGCGCGGGCTGCTTACACTAGATGCTTCACTGACAATATCCATCATGTGAAACCCAGATCGGCTCGATGTGGAAATCCACGGAGATCCGGTCTGGACTACGTACCAACCTTGAAATGCCGTGAAAAGCCCACCGGCGCGCCGAAGAACGGAAACGGCACGGCGCTGACACCCAACTACTTTTTCTCGAAATCCCCATCTCTCGACGACTTCTTCCGGTGGTGTTGCGCTGGTCCTCACTCTTTCTCGGAGCGCCGTCCGTTCTACGAACCAGGGAGAAGAAGGAGGGGCGCCGCCGCAGCGCCGGAGCGAACGCAGCGAACCGAGCGAACGGAGCTAACAAGCCTTATCGCCCTCGAATCTCCTTTCGCGGCCGAGAGGAACCAGCGAGCTGGCAAGGGTTCTGGATTTTCTCCATTTCCCACTACCTTCGCCGAGCCGGCCAACGAGCCGGGGACCCCACCCTAAGGACTGTCTCCAGATTTGCAGAATTTTTATTATTTTCAGCTGGTCCCTGGCGCCCAAAGATGGTTTTTGAAGCTGGTACTTGGACAACTAACAGATGATGGAAATCGCAGAGCCGACGCGTTGAGCCTTTGAGGCTTGGGGATGAAGGTCCAAGGTTGCGTCTTCTCGTCCACACCTCGTAACTGACCCTCCGGTTCGCGGGCCATGTTGCGTCCCCCTCTCTCCCCCCCTTTTCCTTTTGAGATGGCCTTTCTTTGAGGGAGAGCTCTCGGGTCTTGACTCGTTGACCTTTGATGGCGAGCCAATCACAGGCCGTGGAAGATCGGGTGGCCGTGTGTTCTGTTAGGATTTGCGTCACTGGTTGGAACCAGCCTTGCAGTCCACATTTGTTGTTCAAGCGTTCGAGGACGTTCCATCCCGTCTGCCCCACGTCAGGATGATCGAGGCGGGGACAGCAATTATAACACGGTGACCCTGAGCGAACCGGCATTGGCGAATGAGGCATTTGCTGGATAAGAGATCCATCACCGTGCGATGGAAATAGCAATGAGGAGATTGGCTTCACATTGCCTGACACCATCGGCTGTGTATGATGAAAGGAAAGGGAAGTAATACCATGGAAGCATACATGTATGCGAACAGAGGACCGGCGGGAGATGGAGTTTTATCATTGACAGCAGCAGCTCGGCGGTTGACATGGCTGCCTGTGGCTGCAGTGTAAAGCCAGCAAGCACATGCCATCCGAGCCGAGCGGCAGTCCCGTCTGGGGTGGCACGCACGACAGCAGGTCAGGTACATACACAGGAGGCTACTGTACCTCTCTACATTAGTTTACCATCCGTTATTACTGGCCAGGCGAACGTCCTCTCCTCCTTGGCCACGAGACGGTGAGGTTGAAGATTCGGGATTCGCAATCTAGTTTAATCCCCGGACGGACCGGTGAAGACGTGGATTCTGGGACACAGAGATCCTGAGGTCCGGATGCCCAGGAAATAATTCAGTATCGATCAGCAGCAAACCATAGCTGCCTCGGCTTCGACGGTCAACCCACGCGAGGCTTCTTCTCCTTGACATGTACACTACATGGGTATTTTTAACTTTGTTCGCTGGGGCACATCGTTGGGCCCTGAGGGGTCCGGGGTGCCCGTTTACGGTGTCGATTACCGTTTACAAAGACATGTGTACATACGTATCGAAGAAGTGTAGTCGCCGTGAGGGATGCACAGTCCAGGGTTACCTATGCGTCGAAAGGCTGAAGGCGCCCCGTGAAAGCATCCCGGCCCAACGGTCGTGACAGTCGACCCCCTGAGGTTGCTGGAGTCGCTGGAAGTGCCTCTGGGCCGCGAGGTCGGACGTAGATGCGGTGACGGTCGGCGGTAGGCGGCGGATTTGCAGCGGATTCCCGGAAGCTGGATCGTGAAACCCGAGGAACGACGGACGCTGCGGGCGCATGGCCTTTGATGGGCCAGCATGGTTCTCGGCATCAACGTCAAAGTCAAATTGAAACAGGCTAGCGTCGCCTTTCACTGCCTTGCACCCGATGTCATCTCTGGCTCCCCCACACTGCAAAAGTGGTCAAGAGTTAGAATCAGCCGCCTGCTGATTGGCCGGCCGCGCGATCCATTCGGGCGAGCCAGGTACTTGTTCGGCTATGACGGTGGGAGGGGAGCTCCAGCGGGTGGGCAGCAAGTAGGTTCGAAGGCAGGGAGTCGCATTTACCCCCCGGTGGTTGACACAGCAAGCAGCAGCCCGCGCCCGCTCGGTCCATGTCGCTCGCTGCCAGTCTGTGGTTGGCATTCCGACCTAAAATCCCGCCCGCTCCCGTGGACCGCTTGAGCCAGTTTCTTGTTATCTACAAAACCTCTCCACCCGGCCGTATTTTTTTCCCTCTTTTTCCCTCTTTGCAGACGTCCATCCCTCTGCTGAAGAAAAAGCCCGTTCTAGTTTGGGGAGCCCGTCTTTCCATTCTTTTTTTCTTCTTCTCTTAATTTGTCCTTTTGCGCAACTCTCCGCTCCTGTTGTTATTCATCCCCTGCTCTTTGAGCTGAAAGTCAATATGTTGGCCTCCCGTCAGCTCTTGGGCGTTGCCCGGAGCCGTGCCGCCGCTGGCCTCGGCCGCCGGTGCATGGCTACCGCCACCGAGAACCCCCTCGACCGCAAGGTGAGTCCCCCCCCAGCGCCGCATAGAGCGCACAGAGCGAATAATACAGTCGCAACGAGCGCAACAGGGCGCTGACCGGGCATGTTTGTGGGAAACAGGTTAAGCAGAACCTTCTTGAGGAGGGTAACTTCATCAACTACAAGAAGATGTCCGAGAACCTCGCCGTTGTCCGCAGCCGTCTCAACCGCCCCCTCACCTACGCTGAGAAGATCCTCTACTCTCACTTGGACAACCCCCATGAGCAGGACATTGAGCGCGGTGTTTCTTACCTCCGCCTCCGCCCCGACCGCGTTGCCTGCCAGGATGCCACCGCCCAGATGGCCATCCTCCAATTCATGTCCGCTGGCATGCCATCGGTTGCCAACCCCACCACCGTCCACTGCGACCACTTGATTGAGGCCCAGGTTGGTGGTGAGAAGGATCTCGAGCGCGCCATCAACATCAACAAGGAGGTCTATGACTTCCTTGCCTCCGCCTGCGCCAAGTACAACATTGGTTTCTGGAAGCCCGGCTCTGGTATCATCCACCAGATCATCCTCGAGAACTACGCTTTCCCCGGTGGTCTCCTCATCGGCACTGACTCCCACACTCCCAACGCCGCCGGTCTCGGTATGGCCGCCATTGGTGTCGGTGGTGCCGATGCCGTCGATGTCATGGCCAACCTCCCCTGGGAGCTCAAGGCCCCCAAGGTCATTGGTGTCAAGCTCACTGGTGCTCTTAACGGCTGGACTACCCCCAAGGACGTCATTCTCAAGCTCGCTGGTATCCTCACTGTCAAGGGTGGCACTGGCTCTATCGTCGAGTACTATGGTATGTTTCACTTGTCCAATTGAATGCATTTTGGGGATCCTATCAATGCCCTGAACTTTCCGCCAATGGCCTCTATCAAATCCTTCAATGCTTTTGCAGATTACTCAGTGGCATTGCGATTTTCTCGCATTGCATTAACTGGTCTGTCAAATGCATTTTGACTTTGTATCGATGTTATTGGTTGGGAAGTCACGGGGCTTGGCAGTATAACCTACCCCTTTTTCGTGGGGCGAGCTGCCAACAGCAACCATCGGCCCCAAAACACCAAACCTTCATCACCACTCAACATGACGATGCTAACAACTACGCAGGCGAAGGAGCGTCTTCCATGTCCGCCACTGGCAAGGTAAGCTAACTCCGCCAAAATGCTTCTGTATTGATCTTTGCTAACACCTATTGCTAGGCTACTTGCGGCAACATGTATAGTCCTTCCCGACCCTTCTGTTGATGAACTTTGGATGTTTACTAACTCTTCAATAGGGGTGCTGAGATTGGTGCCACTACCTCCGTCTTCCCCTACGACAAGGCCATGTTCGACTACCTGGTCGCCACCAAGCGTTCCGACATCGCCGAGTTCGCCAAGACTTACCAGAAGGAGCTCCAGGCCGATGAGGGTGCGGAGTACGACCAGCACATCGAGATCAACCTGAACGAGCTCGAGCCTCACATCAACGGTCCCTTCACTCCCGATCTTGCCACCCCCATCTCCAAGTTCGCCCAGGCCGCCAAGGAGAACAACTGGCCCGAGGAGCTCAAGGTCGGTCTTATCGGCTCTTGCACCAACTCCTCTTACGAGGATATGACCCGCGCTGCCTCCATCGCCCGCGATGCCCTCGACCACGGCCTCAAGGCCAAGGCTGCTTTCGTCGTCACCCCCGGCTCTGAGCAGATTCGCGCCACCATTGCCCGCGACGGCCAGCTCCAGACCTTTGAGGAGTTCGGCGGCACCGTCCTCGCCAACGCCTGCGGTCCTTGCATTGGTCAGTGGGATCGCCGCGACACCCCCAAGGGCACCCCCAACTCCATTCTCAGCTCCTACAACCGGTAAGAAACTCCCTGCTTCCTTTATTGTGACGACGACGAATGCTAATTGCAATTCATAGTAACTTCACTGGCCGTAACGATGGCAACCCCGCCACCCACTCCTTCGTTACCTCCCCCGACCTTGTCGTCGCCATGTCCATCGCCGGCTCTCTCTACTTCAACCCCTTGACCGATAGCCTCAAGGACAAGGACGGCAAGGAGTTCAAGCTCCAGGCCCCCACTGGTGCTGGCCTCCCCGACCGTGGCTACGACCCCGGCCAGAACACCTACCAGGCCCCTCCTGCCGACCGCGCCACTGTCCAGGTTCAGGTCTCCCCCACCTCTGACCGTCTTCAGGTCCTCTCCCCCTTCAACGCCTGGAACGGCAAGGACGCCACCGACATGCCCATCCTCATCAAGGCCCAGGGCAAGACCACCACTGACCACATCTCCATGGCCGGTCCTTGGCTCAAGTACCGTGGTCACCTTGACAACATCTCCAACAATATGTTGATCGGTGCCATCAACGCCGCCAACGGTGAGGCCAACAAGGTCCAGAACTTCACCACTGGTGAGTGGGATGCCGTCCCCGCTGTTGCCCGTGACTACAAGGCCAAGGGTATCCCCTGGGTTGTCATCGGTGACTGGAACTACGGTGAGGGCTCTTCCCGTGAGCACGCTGCTCTCGAGCCCCGTCACCTTGGCGGTCTCGCCATCATCACCCGCTCCTTCGCTCGTATCCACGAGACCAACCTGAAGAAGCAGGGTATGCTTCCCCTCACCTTCGCCGACCCCGCCGACTACGACAAGATCAGCCCCGAGGACAAGGTTGACATCCTCTGCACTGAGCTCGCCGTTGGCAAGCCCATCACCATGCGTGTCCACCCCAAGAACGGCAAGGACTTCGACATCAAGCTCAACCACACCTTCAACGACGCCCAGATTGAGTGGTTCAAGAACGGCTCTGCCCTCAACACCATGGCCAAGAACGCCAAGAACTAAGCAGTAAAATATGCATAAAAATAATAAAAATGAGAATGACAAGAGGGACGAGTAAGGACGGGACTCTATAAGGGAAAGTCGGGATGGACGGGCGACTTTCAGGGATTTTTCAACTCGGATCGGCGTAATACGCAGACATCGCGCTTTTTCTTGTTTGTATGTATACAGTCATGGCCCTTGCGTTTCAATTGATTTCTGTGAAATTCCCCAAAGCTTGCCATGGTTCCTGTCCCGCGTGCACGATGCTCTATGAAGTTGTTCTCTATACATGTGCACATAGTCTTGGTCAAGCTTCAACTTCGGACACGGGCACGGGTAGCCCATCTCAAACCTCAATGCAACGCAACTTGATTAAGACCCAAAACGCATGAACTGCGCTCAACACATTGCGATCTTGATCAAGAACTATGCAGTGTACTTGGATATCTCACAAGGGAGTTACCCCGTTCACTGTTTAGCCGTAGATCCGCAACAAGATATATACTGCATAATCATCGGGCGCAAGTGCAGCCCAAGTCACCAATATTGTCAGGTAGGCAGGATAGGAAGGGATCGAACATGGCCTTGTCGTAGGGGAAGCAGAGGTAGCAGCACCGATTTCTGCACCTTTATCTAAAGAGCCAGTGAATAATCAAGATTACGATGGAAGGCTTTCAGAAAGCGTTGTCTCGGGACCTCACATGTGTCTTTCTTTACTAGCTTTCAGTTGCCTTGTGGGCATTTGAGTTAACCCAAACCCCTGTATTGTAAAGTGTCGTACACAGCAACCATGGCGTTTGCTGGGCAACCTATGATATGCGATTATGCGCTAGAGGTACTTTACGGTACCCCACGTACCGATGCTGCTTATCTTATCGGGTGGCTGATGTGCGACCCGTCGCAGGGCAGTTCCCAAAAATGCGGCGCGTCAGAGTTGTGGTTTCAGCAACAGCAAACAGATGCTATACCTACTGCAACAAAAAATTCCATTCAAGTTCTCTCTTGAGACTGCAATCATTCATCTCGGTGTTGGATTCTCGCCAGCTTTTGCGCATGTCACAACCTCTCCCCCCAGTTGCACCCAAAGCCATGATGGCTTCGTCGGCATTTTCAGTGCTGAATGGCTCTGCCCAAAGTCAAGCGTTGCCTAGCGGTATCCCCAAAGGACCAAAGGCATCCCATCACTCGCATGGTAAAGCTGGCGGCGCCAAAGCCAATGGTGGTGCTGCGGCGGCCCAAAGCGTGAATGCCGTCCACACTCACACGGCCATGGGCAGATGGTCCATCTTGCCCAAGGAGCCTCCAAGTAAGTTGCGATTACATCATCTGTTTGGGTGAACTGCAATCGTTAACCATGTTCGGTCTTCGACAGAACCTGATACCATCAAGGCTATCCACGTCTATGACTTTGACAATACATGTAAGGAGAATACCCCCCAGCTACAGTCACAGCGGTTTGGTTAACCCGGCTCTCTCAACCAGTGTTTTCGACCCCTCTTCCGAACCCCAAGCTCTGGATAGGTCCTACAATCGGTACATTATCGAACCCTGATGCTTTTGTCAACGGCGGATGGTGGCACGACTCTCGCATTCTTGCCGCGACAGGGGAAGGTCTCGCAATAGAGGAGCCCCGCGCCTGGGATGGGTGGTGGAACGAAAAGATTGTCGAGCTCGTTGAGCTTACCATGAAGCAGAAGGATGCTCTTTGCGTTCTGCTGACAGGGCGCGCCGAGGCTGGGTTCAGCAATCTGGTTCGACGCATGGTGGAAAGCAAAGGGCTCGTGTTCGATATCATTGCACTCAAGCCCGCCATCGGGCCCGACAACCAGCGCTTTTCCAGTACGATGAATTTCAAGCAGGCGTTCTTGGAGGCACTGATGGAGACATACAAGCATGCCGAGGAGATACGGATTTATGAGGACCGCGCCAAGCATACACAAGCCTTCCGCAATTTCTTAGCGGACTACAACAGAAAGCAGACTGCCACGCCAACTCGGGGGCCCATTACCGGAGAGGTTGTCCAGGTCGCCGATATATCTACCTTTTTGGATCCCGTGGTTGAAATTGCTGAAGTTCAGCAACTCATCAACGAGCACAACTCCGCTTTGGGGAGGCCGCGGCGTGGTCACCGGAACGACCGCCTCATGATCAAGAAGAAGGTTTTCTATACGGGCTACATGATTGGAAGCGCTGACACAAAACGCCTACTCAGCCTCGCGCAATTGCCGACAAATTTATCCGATACTGAGCTCAAGATACACGGTAACTACATCTTGATCTGTGCGGGACCATGCTCGCAGGACATCCTGGACAAGGTGGGTGGTTTGCGTGCCAAGATGACCTGGGAGGTGACGGGAACGGCGTGCCTCGATAACAAAGTCTGGGCGGCATCTGTTAAGCCAGTGCTCCCTACTGCGGACTTCTATACGGACAACCCGTCACCGCATGTCGTGTTGGCTATCCGTGATCGTGCCCGTCTCCAAGACGCCAACAGGATCCAGAACTGGCAGAAACTACCAGCGGACAAGGTGTTCAGGTTCGAGACGACTGTTGATGAAAAGATCTTGCTCCGCATAGAGCCTGAGGATTCTCATGGGAGCTCATATGAAAGTAGGGGAAAGAAGAGGCATCATACAAGCCATGAAGATGACTTCCGGGCGCGGCCAAGCGCTCCCGGTGCATTCTCGGGCCAGAGTGGCACATATGGACAGGGAGGTCGAAACGCCCACCACCAAGGAGGCTTCCGTGGCGGAGGCAACCAAGGCGGTAGCGGTGGTAGGTTCAACCGCGGCGGAGGTGGTCAGGGCCAACGTAATTTTAGGGGCGGAAGAGGAGGTGGTCCAGGTGCTAAGGGTCGTGGCGGTCGCGGCGGTGGTAATAGTGGCGGCGGTGGCGGTCATCACTACAAGTCGCTCGATGATCTAGGGACGAAAGACAACTCTGGCGTCTCTTACGAAGACGAAGCAAATTCTTCTCACCAACAACCGCCAGGGAGAAATAACACATTCCAGCCGCCTACAGCACCGGCAGCGATGCAGCAGCAGGGCGGTGGAGGATTCTACAACAACAGCAACAACACTAGTAACAACAATAGCCAGTACCAGCCGCCGTATCAGCAACAGCAGCAGTATGGTGGCGGCGGCGGCGGTGGTGGCGGTTGGCAGCAGCAACAAGGATATCAGAATCAATCACACCAAGGCGGAAGGCCAACAGGTGGCGGGAGTGGAGGAATAGGATATGGATCCGGAGGACCGGATATCAACTCCTATTACTAGGGGTACCCGCCGCGGTACAATTTGCTTGGGCCTTGATGTTAACACGACACTTGGGTCCTTTGTCTGACATGAGTGAATCGGATATGTAACGCATTTGCACAAATATTGTATGTTACAAAGCGTCGGTTCTCGGATGGTGCTTTTCAGCGACTTATGGTAATGGTCAACACCTTCATGAAGGTCTCATCACTTCACAGAGTGAGAGATAGAGAGATGTTTGTTGAGCGAATACAACTAGCGTAGGTATTGTAAAAATCATATCCTCGGCTTGTGGCTCATGGTCTGTGACGCTGTGTAAATTACCGTATTTCGCCATGAGCGGGACCATACTAGGTAGCTGCATACCATTCGCTGCTATCTGAACCCCTTTTGCACGATATGCGTACACTGGAGCAGTTAATGTAACCAGAGGTAAGAACTGTAAGTACTGTAAAACCTCTCCACTGGGTACCTCGATGGCAACCCCTGATTAAGTGACACGGGGAGCTTCATCGACATCACCGGCACCGTCAACTTCCTCGGCCTGCTTCCTGTCACAACGCCTTCCTTTCCGGCTGGAGTTGTGGATAGGCAAGCTTCAAGATGCCACGTCTATTAGGTACCTGCGCTTTGCCATCGTCTGTCGAACTTTGGGACAATTGACTGACCTTCAATTGCAGCTAGCGCATTGAGCCTGCGGCGCGACCCGCGGTTGCTCAAGCTCCCGCCCTACCTTTCTCTGCTGTGCATCGTCGTTGGCGTCGTCTGGCTATTCCTTCTTCCACTCGACGACTATTCCCGAAGAACATACATATCCGAAAACGCCCTATTGCCGGGCCAAGTCCACACGTACTTTGGTGGCAGCGATCAGAATGTCTTCCGCGCGTACAAGCACGAGACTGACGAGCTGGCTGGCAAGGGGAACATCGAGTACGTCCCTCATCCACCCTCAGTTGGTTGGTGTTGTATTTTTTTTTTCCCCCAAATTATTTTTTCGTTTTTCTTTTGAGGAGGAGGGAATGGGGACTTTGTGAAACATGCTGACCTAGATTTACTGCATTCAGGGTCAACGACAAACTCGAATCCATCGCGAAAGGTCTCGGTCTGAAAGTTGGCCGCCAAAACTTCACCTACAGTTCCGCCGGCAACACACATTCCGGCCAGAACATCTACGCGATCCTCCAAGCCCCACGCGGCGACGCCACCGAAGCCATTGTCCTCGTCGCTGCCTGGAAAAATGTCAAGGGGGAGTTAAACCGCAGCGGCGTGCCCCTCGTCCTCACCCTCGCCCGCTACTTCAAGCGCTGGTCGCTCTGGTCCAAGGACATCATCTTCCTCTTCACTCCCGACAGTATCGCGGGTCCCCAGGCCTGGGTCGACGCGTACCATGACGCCCACGACTCGTCGCGCGTCGCCAGTCTGCCTCTCAAGAGTGGTGCATTGCAGGGCGCCATTGCCCTGGACTACACCCGCGAGACCCGCTTCCAGAGCGTGCATATTGTGTACGATGGAGTTAACGGCCAGCTTCCCAACCTGGACCTGATCAACTCGGTTAACCATGTTGCTGGCGGCCAGATGGGCATGGGCGTTGCGATCCAGGAAATGTGGAAGCACAGCAATAGCTACCACGACCGGCTACAGACCATGCTGCGTGGTATGCTCAAGCAGGGACTGGGGCTGGCGAGCGGCCCGCACAGCAGTTTTATCCCGTACCATGTGGACGCGGTGACATTGCAACCATTTGGTGAGGGTTGGCAGGATGAGATGGCCATCGGAAGGGTCATTGAGGGCACTTTTAGGAGTCTGAATAACCTGCTGGAACACCTGCACCAGAGCTTTTTCTTCTACTTGCTCATGCAAAGAGAGCGGTTCGTGAGTATTGGCACGTACTTGCCCAGCGCCATGTTGGTGGCAGCCAACTTTACAATTATGGCGATTGCTCTTTGGGTGAAGAGCGGACAGCCCGATGTGCAAGAAATCATCACGGAGAAGACTAAGACGGCTGAGGAAGCTGAGAAAATCGTTTCGCCTAACCCGCACGTCGCATCGGAGAGGGATCTTTTTCTTCCTCTGGTTCTCGTGGCCGTTTGCCAGTTTTTGGGCGTGGTACCTCTCTATCTGTTCAACCACCTCTCAGAGAGTGTAAGTGTTTTACCCCCTTTCCACGATTCCTTGCTCCTTGATTGCGTGCTAACAAAAACCGCAGGCCTTGATTCCAGCCTTCGTCCTCTTCAGCGTCCTTTCCTCGATCCTCCCATTCCTCCTCTCCAACCTTCTACATACCTCGACAACCTCAACCACAGCCCAACAATATCACCTCATCCGCTCCTTTTCTCTCCTCCTTCTCGGCATGTTCCTTTCCTCGCTTGCGACCCTCAACTTTTCTCTCGCCTTTTTCGTAGGCCTCTTCAGCGCTCCGCTGACCTTTGTCCGCCCTTGCCCCAACTCTTCCACCCTTAAATGGCTGTCTATGGTCGTTTTGTATGTCTTGTCTCCGACTACGGTGGTGTTGGTCGCCAGCATGCTTCCGGGTTTGGACGAAAAGGTGGGATGTGGGTTGGGAGAGGTGCTGAGGCAAGCGGCGTTTGCTTGGAATGTCACGGGGACATATACGCCTGTTGTGGTATGGTGTGTGTGGTGGCCTGCTTGGATTGTTGGAGTTGTATCCGTCTTGGGACGGCCTGGTGCTGGTGATAAGAAGGTGAAGAAGGCTTGAGAGGTATGTTCTATACGTTATATTCGGGGTTCGTGTGGGAGTTTCTTTTAGACGGCATCGCGTGGTACATATTCACTTCATGTTTTGGTCTTTTTCATGGCTCTTGGGACAAGAAACTAAATATGGTTGCTCAAAGTCTCGGGACATATCCATGACCCATACGTCTATCTATCTAACACCACGCGCCCGACGGAACTCTCAAGCACTTGGAGCTCTTCTTCCCACCCTTGATATCAACTTGGTTCCATCCAAATTGCTTACAAGATCCATCGCCGCAGTTGATAAAGATGTTAGTGCCAGAGGACAGAACATTTCCCGTCACGTTGGAAAGTGTAAACCCGGTGATAGGCACACCATTAGTTGGCGACGCGTTCTTAGAGGAAGAACCGTAGGACTGGTCAACCATGATGCCGTATTTGGTGATGTTTTGGAGCTTGACATTGCGGTAAGTGATGTTGGAGACGAGACCCGTGGTTCCGTAATTGGTCTTGATTCGGGCGCCTGAGGTATCGCAAATCGCAGCGTTAGAATCTATGCTTCCTGTTGCCAAGCGACGGGGAAGCTAAGGAGAAAAAGGGTGCTTACCGTTCTCTGAGTTCGCAATCACTGAGTTCTCAAACAGGACATTCTTGACGGTGTTATCGCTTCTACCGCCCACGGAACCAATAGACAGACCATGGCCACCCGAGCAAAGACCATTGCGGAAAGTGATATCCTGATTGAAGCAAAAACGTTGGTTAGCCGAAGGTACCCCAGAAAGAAAAAAAAAAAAAAAAAAAAAAAAAAAAAAAAAAAAAAAAAAAAAAAAAAAAAAAAAAAGCTTACCGTGCCCGAATTAATAGCCACACAATCATCCTGGTTATACACCTTCGCGCCGTCAATCACCACGTTACTGGATGACCCAATATCAAAGGCATCCGTGTTTCTTCCTCCTTTACCGGCCTTCCAGTCTCCATCACCCGCCTTGTTGTCAAGTGTGAATCCTGTCACCGTCAAGTTCTTGCATCCGTTGATACTCATCACCTGCACTGGTGCATTGAGGATCGTGACACCCTCGATCACGGAATCCTCAAGATTGTGCACCTGGAAGAACTTGGGTTTCTTGATGGGTCCCTTTTGTCCCAAACCGTCCCAGTACTTTTCGCCGCTGCCGTACAACACAGAGGAAGAGAGGCCGCGGATGGTCAGCTTGGAGGAGGAGGAGATGGAGAGGAGGGGGCCCTCCCAGCCGGAGGAAAGGTAAGGGAACGTGGTTTTGCCGGCAAAGGTGACTGTCGTTCCTGGATTGAGCTTGTCTAGGTTGAGAGTCTTGCCCGCGGGTACTTGGAGGTCGGAGATGACGATCTCTTTGCAGGAGCTGTGTCCTTTGGAGAGGAGGTCGAAGCCAGTTGAGCCGCTGAAGGTGCAGGACGAGGACGCTATGTGGCTGCCCGATGTTGATGGGATCGAGGCTGCCATCGCACTTCCGAGGAAGGCTGGCAAAAGAGAGGCGGTGATTCTCATGGTTGTTGGAAGCTGGTAGATTTGACTATGGTACCCCTTTATCGGTATAGGCACAACAAGAACAATGAGATGAATGCTCCCAGAACATGAAGAAACCAAACATTAGGCAAGACCATATTTATATAAAATCAGCTGTGTGGGAAAAGCTGCAAGATCATCACATTTCCAAGACCGGGGGTTTGAAACGTAGCGGTGTTCGTAACGAGGATGAACATACGAGAATACTACGCTGTCGATTATTAAGGTAAAGAGACGAGTGCCACCCACTTAGGAAGTTGCAGGAGAAACGGCACTTTTCTTTACTATGGATTTATTTGCGTTCGGCGTACATTTGACCGAGCGGACAAATTCGAGGACTGGTTATGGACTCAAGGCGTCGTCATCCATGGTCGGTGCCCCCGAGGTGGGGGGGAGTAAAGGAGGAGGAGAATGAAGGCAAGGGGTTGTCCTGGGGGAAGACCCGCATGTTGTGCTTGCGGAAAATTGGCTGCTGTGTTCTTGACCCTTCTCCTGCGATGTCCGACCTCCAAATCTTTGCCCTGTCATCTTGTTTGATTCTGGTGTTGAGTTGTCAATCCCGTCTTGTCGTCGAGAGGCTTGAAGTCAAAAGTGGGGCAGTTGCACGGTGAAACTTCACCTTGGGTTCACCGGGCAATACCCACCGAATTTTTCTCCTTTAATAACATCAGCACGAAATTACCAAGCGCTTTCGCAACAGACTTCAGAGCTTTGAAACAACATCTTGAGCTTGGCCTATTTTAAACGTCCAGAGTTTTCGTCCTCTCATTTCCACTTCCACAACCACCAACCAACCAATCATCCTTACAAAAAATCCCTTCAACATGTCTGACAGCAAGCAAATGAGTCAGCAAGAGGTCTCCGCCGAGTTCACTTCCTACTACCTCCAGCGAGCAACCAAGGAGTTTGCCGAAGATTTGGACAAGGTGCGCACGGCTGACGACTTTAAAAACGATGCGATCCACTTGCTCGTAAACGCGCTACAGCAGGGTACTGCGCTTTTCTCTCCCGAAGAGCAGAGGAGGATAGTCGAGTCTGGGGCAGAGAGGAAGTGATGAGGACGAGCGACGCAAGTTTTGAAGGGGAAGGATCACGGAGGCTCAGAGAAGTCGGAGGTTACATTTTGCGTGATCGCAGCAAGATCCGAAGATGGGAGGTCGTCTCTCGATAGCGGGCATCGAGCAGAGCAGTCCATCGGTCCAAAGGCTTCGGCGGACGTAATCTTTGAGAGGGCCATGCGAATCCTTTCCACGTCAACCTGTCTATCGACATGACACAACTGGGGAGAGACTGATTGGTTGAAGCAGGAGCTGTTCACCCACACGATCACCCGCAGTCGGTTCTACGACCATAGTTGGAGAGCAGAGTCAGGCGCAAACCTCAAGGCCGCGGAAGATGGGCATGGAATACCCGTAAAAGCATAGAACATGCGACCAGGGAAGAATGATATGCTGCACAAGAATGATAACCTGATAAATGAAGTCAACCGGTTTAAATGTGGCTGTTGTACAAGTTCTATCCAACAGAGGCCGTTCATACTGAAACGCGCATTCCGGTGCCTGACTGTTTCTAGCGTTATAATTGCAGCTGCAAGTAATTATAACCATGACAACATGGCCGAGTGGTTAAGGCGACAGACTTGAATACCGCCTTTATTCAGCTATCTGTTGGGTTCGCCCGCGTAGGTTCGAACCCTACTGTTGTCGATAATTTTTGGTTTTTTGAACCATTTTTTCCCCTTCTGTTAGCTTCAACACGTAGTTTTACTGATATGTGTGAAATAGATCCCGTTTTCAATTTCTTTTTTGGGCCTTGATTGCTAGCTAGACCCTGGACATATAAAAAAAAGCCCGTTGGTTTTCCAAAGATAAAGACCCAAAAAGTCCGTCGATGTGAAGCGGGGATGCAATGTGGTGCACCTTCCACACGTAGAGACACCAACCTGCAAAAAAAAAAAAAAAAAAAAAAAAAAAAAAAAAAAAAAAAAAAAAAAACACTGCAGTTTGCGCGGTGATAACGTGCTTCAAAACCAGAAGGCACGACGGAAGAGAGGGGAATGCTATATGACACTTCGCCTCGACTCACTACATTGTTCAATGTATGTAGAGAGAGGTACCTACCTATGTACTTGTGATATGCTTACCCTCTCCATGTCCCTCCCGTACGGGTGGTTCGGGTTGAAGAAGCTCTGCCGAAGTACGGTGCTTCAGATACACCCAGTATTGCTTCCAGTCTGTGTACAAGAAGTCAACACTGTTAGCCGGGCAGGTCATTGATGTCTCAAGTTCAATCAATACATTACAAGGCAATAGTTTGGACTGGATCACTGCATAACATCATGGACGGTGAAGAACTGCCCGGTTGGACCCCTCCACTCCACTTCCGACCAGCGACTTATCCGACACGGAGGGGGCCAGGGCTGACCAACGCTCCCCACGGCCGCGACGGAACCCCGAGAGCCCGCCTGTTAGCCTTATCCAACGAGACTACACAAGCTTGGGGTCGGACCTTACTCCTGACCGACATTCGACGAGGGGCCGATTTTTTTTTTTTTTTTCTCTTTCTTTCCTCTGAAAACGTTGGATCATCATCTACCTAGGTTGTGTACCTTGCAGCACAATAAGAACGATAAGGAAGCACTAAACGTCGGTGCTTGCGACAAGGCGGTCATACATACCTGCTACGCCCACGACCCCCCCCTCCGCCTTCCTCGTTCGACAGGACAACAACGCCAATTGTCCATTCTCCATCAACGGCCCGAGTCCTCGAGACGCTGTATGCCATTCAGAGACGATCGATTTCGCATACAACGGGCGCTCGCAAGTCTAATCTTGGACGTGGAGATACCCTCTCCTCCATCGACGGCGCATCTTATCTGGGTTCTTCCTGAACGTAGACCGACCGCGGACCAATCTACCACCCGAATCACGACCTCACACACACACACACACACACACACACACGAATTTGCATAATGGCAGCCCAAACACTGCCCGCCTCCGGGGCTGCCGTGACGTTCAATACCCAGCGCACGCGTGCATATCTCCTTAAGCTGCCACTTTTCACAAGAGCCACGGTGCTAATCATTGTCCTGACATGGGTTCTGACGTTGGTTGGCAAGTCATGGAACTGGGACGTCAAGACGTGGGGCGCGTTGATACCGGACGAGATTGGTATTGCGACATGTAGGTTCTATTCAGTTTTTGTTCTTCTTCGGTATGGTCATGCCAGGGAGTGGCCAAAGTGGAGGACCTCGCTGAAGGGAATGGGATAAGAGGGAATCCTCAATTGGATGCAAAGCACGCGCTGGTAGCGGATACCCCAGATACCGAACAGCAGTCCTGCGGGATGGCAGGAGGCTTCACATTCTGAAATGGACCATGCCTCAACGCTGGCCTGTGACATGAGACCTGCACCTGCTAACACTCTTGGCAACAGTATATCGCATCAACACATTCCCCTTCATCCACCTGAACATCTTCCACACAATACTCAACATTGTCGCCTTTACACCTCTTCTCGAGCGGTTCGAGCATGAACATGGTACTCTGACCTCTGTGGCGCTCTTCTTTGGCCGTAAGACAACTCCCCTCTCATCTCCTTGAAATTACCCAGGGCCACAACTCACACGTTTGTTCTCCTCTAGCATTCGCAACGATACCGGGCCTCATCTACGTCTTCATCGAAAGGTTCATCCTTCACGCCAACACGCCAGTCATGGGAGCCAGCATGTGGGTGTTCCTGCTGCTGGGCATGGAAGCTATTCGCACCTACAAGACCAATCCCTACTTCACCATCAGCACCTACAACATTCCTACGTGGATCACTCCTCTGTTGTTGGTGGTGGTTACTGCTGCGTTGCTGCCGAGCTCGAGCTTCCTCGGGCACTTGGCCGGTCTGCTTGTCGGTTACGGGTGTAAGTGTTTCAATCCCAACTGCTCCCCTACCTACGTTCATGTCGAGGGGAAAAAAAAGCTATATCTGCTAACATGGATGATAAACAGTCGGCCTAGGATACCTCAAGTTCCTCGCCCCTCCTGAGTGGGCGTTGCGGTTCATCGAAGGAAAGCTCAACCTCTTGGGTAGACTGCCTCACTACGTCAGCGTGGATCAAAAGACTTTTGGCAGATTCGGTGTCCTCCCTTCCTCTGCCTCGTCAGCCGAGGCTGGCATTCCGTTTTCTGGGGTCTCTGGTGGCCAGCGATTGGGACCTTAAAAGACGGGTTCCCGAATATGGCGTACATTACGTGCATGAGCAGAAGAGCATAGAAGTATGAAATGGTACATACGAGGCATGCGTGTCATGAATAATGGATATAGAAAGGATCTTTACTGTTAATGTATGATGCTGTACGACTAAATATAGGGCCGGGGGAAAATGGAGATGGTAGTTGCATGGCGTTCTCTGGATATGAATCGAATTTCCTCTTGGGATTTGAAGTCTGCAACTAGAGTCTTATTCATGATGAGTGCCAATCATTCAGCTCGAACACGTCCATGATTGATGAGTACGGGGTCTCGTGGTCTTCAAAGTCTCATAGCGTCATAAAAGCTCGAGTCATTATGGCAAAGGTCGCGAGTTATCCAGATGTAATAATATGTTGTCACTTTGCTTTTCCCACCCTTTTCACGCTTACAACAAAAACTTTCTATTCATGAGTATACTTATTCCCCTGTACGGTAGTAGCGCAGTCCCAATTAATGGACCAAAAATTCCTTCCTATCCCCAATTTCAACCTCCTTCCCCCCCCCAATGATTAGCCTAGCCTAGCCCACAGCCTCAAGCAGCAGCAGCAGTAGCAGCACCCTCCTTTTCCTTCCACCCCAACTCCCTCAACGTCCAACCCTTCCCCTCTGGCGTCTCAGCCCCGGCCCCCTCCTCCGGCTTCACCTCAAAATTAGCATAGCAATAAAACTCATTGCTCAACCCCCTCGCATGCTTAGGCTCAAACGTAGTAGTCCTCAGGCCGTAGCTCTTATACAGCTTCTCCGTAACCAGCGTCTCCATGCGCTCGCCCGTGCAAGCAATGATCTTGGGCTTTTCACCCTTCTCCCTCCCCTCCTCCTCCTCCTCCTCCTCCTCGTTACCTTGGGGAGATTTGAGCATCCACCTTACCGTCAAGGCAGCTTTGATTTGGCAATCCTCGCTCAAAAAGGGAGGATCAACAATGACGCGGTCAAAGGCGCCCTTGAGGTGGCTCGGAAGCTTGAGCGGCTGGGCGAAATCGTAAAAGATGAATTCGTCAGCGAAAACGGCGAAGCGGTTGTCGTGCTCGAGCAAGGTGAGTTTGGGCTTGGGCTTGTCTTTGTAGGCGTCGCTGTTCAAAAGGTTCTTGAGCTGAACGAAGACGGAGGGGGCAGAGACGACGGCGATGGAGGTGGTTGGAGTGGCGCCGGCGAGGAGTTGTTTGGCGAGAAAGGTAGCTGTTTCATCGGAGTACTGTTGATTTTTCATGTCAGTTGGTTCGTCATCGTGGGGGTTGAAGGTCTCCTTATAAGCCATATATAAAAAAATTGACGAAAATGGTATCACTCACCCAGAACTGGCTCTCATTCCAATCCTCGGTGAAAGCATCCATAGACAGCTTGACGTTCAAAGCATGCCTCTCCTCAGCCTCGGCCTGGAGCTTAGCAAACTGCTCGGCACGGGCATCGCGCTCGGCGTAAAAAGATTTGAGGGCATCGAGGGTTGAGGTAGAGAGTTCGCTTCAGATAGTCAGTACCCTGTGGATCACGATTTCATTAAAACAAGTTACTGGTAGTGAGGCATTACTCACAGGTCACTCTCATCATCAGAGAATTTGTCGATGATGCACGCCATTTTGGACCCCAAGCTAATCACAGTATGGCTCGATTCGATATGGTTCGGGTACAAGTGGGAGCGAATCGATTATAATCGGTTGTATAAGTGGGCAGTGAGTGACTGTTCGGTTGTAAGTGTTGGGGAATGGTGTGCTCTTGGCACTAACAGTCAAAGTTTAACGGGAGTGTGCAGCATCGGAAAAAATTTGTGGATGCATTGATGCCATTTCCCTTATCCGTTCCCCTTTTTGGTCGCATCATGCCAGTAAACACAACCCCGTCGAGTTGAAGGCTTCAATCTCACCCCAGATCGTTCAGACGCTTGCGCAAATCTTTTGATTGCTCTAATTCTCACCACAGCATCCAGTCTGGACGTTCTGTGTTCCGTCGACTCACCAAATGCTCTACGGTGGATTTCTACAATCTACATGCATCCCTGTGCAACCCCAAAGATACTCACAGCATGTGAATGTACTCCCTGTCCTCCCTCCTCTCCTTTTCGGTCGCTGGCGGAAGGTCGTAGTAGGCATTGCTGCGATAACTTTGCTGCATGGGAATCAGTCATCATTCTTTTGCACTCGAATTGTGATGTGGGCAACTTACCAAGTAATGGTAGGTGAAGTTGGCGATATCTGCAGGCTCGATGCCGAGGTCCTTGAAGGTCTTGGCCTCCGGATCGATGACCTGGTCGTGGAACTCACGCTCAATCTCATCGGCAGACATGATGGGCCACCAAAGGGCCTTGTTCAGGACACCGGCGATCGGCTTGAGGATCTTCTTGGGCACATTCACGTGGCGCCGCCTCTTGTAGATTTCGCGGTCAACCATCTCGGAGATCTCAGCGGTAGTGTAGGTCTTGGGACCGTAGAGCTCAAAAGTTTCCGAAGCAGTGTTGTCGTCCCAGAGCATCTGCTCAAGAGCCTGGCCAACATCAATCACCTAAAACGGCTGTTAGATGCTACCATCCGCGCGCAAAGGGTTATATCGGGGGGGAGAAGACGTACGTGAACAGGGTTGTACTTCTCTTGCATCCCGTTGGATGTCAGGATATTCTTGACGCTGGCAAGCTTGTGAAGCAACCTGTCCTCGAAGCCAAACATGGGAGCTGGCCGGACAATGGTGGTTTCGGGGAAAATGCTCCTGACTACTTGCTCACCACGCGCCTACAGATCCAATTAGAAACCCATAACGATGCAACTCGCAGGAAGAGGCTGTCTTGTAATCGTACCTTGGTGGCGAAGAACTCGCACTCCGAGTTGGGGTCTGCATTGTAAGACGATACGTGGATGAAGCGGTCGACATCGTATTTGGCGACAGCTTCGGCGATGCGCTCAGCACCCTCGATATGAACGTCCTCGAACGAGAAGTTCCTGGGACCCAGGTCAATACTCGTGCATCTCCACCACAACTTTTCCCAGTAAATCCAGACTCACTTGGTCGGGTAGTCGCGACCGATCAGGTTGTAGACGACATCCGAGTGTCTGACGCTCTCCTCGATGGATTGGGTGTTGCGCAAGTCGAACTCCTGGAGTGGTGGTTATGCTTAGTAGCTGGATCCTTGCGCGTACGTGGGCCTCGACTGTGTGGACATGACTTGTTGTGGGGAAAAGCTCACTATCATGACCACCTTGCCCAAATCACCCGTAACTTTCAGATGGCGCTTGTTGTACTCGTCGCGGAAGGGAATGACGACAGTGCATCCTTGTCTCGCTGCAAACGTTCTTGATATAAGCCATGGTGATCTCTATAGTAGAGGCCTACGCCACGAAGTCGTCAGATCGCACCTAGCCTGTTGACGATGTAGCGGCCGAGCTGGCCGGTCGCACCGAAGACTGTCGCAGTATGTCCACCGAGGGAGGAGCTGTGGAGGTAGACGACGTATTAGCAATCGTCCATTCTGCCCAAACAGAGATATAGCAACAATTACCGGCCACCCTGGTTACGGATAATGGGCTTGCCGGTGCGGGTGATGGTCACGTCGGAGATAGCCCGTCGCTGAAAGCCAAAGGCACTGGAAACGATGATTCTGGGAGTCGACCGCATCGCGGCCATCAGGGGAGCCATCTTGTGAGTTGTGGGGTGGCAGGGCTGGCCGGATCCCGTTCAATTGGCGATGGAATCAGAGGCTATCCGGAGCTTCAAGCTGCCGTCTTCAATATCGAATCCGGGACGTCGAAGCCGGCTCTCGCTGCCCGCCTGCTGCCCGCCTGCCGTCAGCACCCCCCCTTCAATGTAGCTGACGGGAATCACGTGTGCCAAGCTTCCTCACTTATACTCAACGGCAGTACGTACCTCTACCAGTTGGGCATGTACCTTTTGGGCTCCCGCCTGTACCTTAGCTTCACCCAGCTTCCACTTGGCAGTGACTGTGGGGGCCTCCACAGTGCTGAGAGAGCATCCACAATGACCGACCGTAGCTGGCTGCACGCCTAACGCCGCGTCAAGGCTTCACTGCAAGACGTCAACCAAGACAACCTCAAACAACACTTTCATCCTCCATTGTAGACGTACCACTGCATTGTCCCGCCGGGATTTTCTACAACGAGCAACGTCCCACGATACTCTGGTTTCCATCCGCAGCAGACTCACCGACGTTTCCACCAAAGAAATCGGATCCTCGAGAACCTGCCTACCTCCCCAAGGACTGGACAGCAAGGATCGATAGCAGACTCAGACACACACACCCACCTAGACACAACAGCACAGCCATGAACGTCGACACCATCTCCGACTTCCTCGCCGAGCAGCGCGACCAGGCGCCCGAAGAACTCCAACCCCTCGTCCTTGAGTTCGAGACACTATGGGAGCGCAAGCTGTGGCATCAGCTCACCAACCTGCTGCTTGAGTTCTTCAACCACCCCGGCAGTGCCCCGCAGAGGCTACAGTTCTACAAGGTCTTCATTCTCAAGTTCGCCGACAAGATCAACCAGCTCAAGCTCGTTGATCTTGCTCTCAAGGCCGCCACACAATGTAGAGGTGCGCAGACGGTCTTCATTTCCTCTGCTTCCCAACATGCATCTGGCAGCTAGCACTAACCATGCCTGGGTGCGCAAACCCTAGACAACCAAGAGCGCCTCTCCTTTTTGGAAGCCGTCGTCAAGAAGGTCGACCACGAAGACTCTCAAGACGCCTATGTATTCGCCACGATCGCCGTTGCCCGCGTGAAGCTCGACCTCTCCGACCTTGACGGCGCGCGCAAGGACCTGGACACGGCCGAGCGAATCCTCGACAACTTCGACTCGGTGGAGTCGGTCGTGCACGCCGCCTTCTACGACACCAACGCCAAATATTTCCAAGCCAAGTCCGACTGGGGCTCCTACTACAAGAACGCGCTGCTGTACCTCGCCTGCATCGACGTCAAGTCACTTTCACTCGAGGAGCAGCGCCAGCGCGCCTACAACCTGGCCATCGCGGCCCTCGTCAGCTCGAGCATTTACAACTTTGGCGAGCTTCTGCTGCACCCCATCCTCGACGCCCTCACCATCGACGACCGGCACAAGTGGCTGCACCAGCTCCTCTTTGCCTTCAACCGCGGCGACCTCGCCGCATACGACCTACTGGCCAGCCACATCAGCTCGGACCCGCTGCTGGCGCAGCACACGCGCCAGCTGCGCGAGAAGATCTATCTGGCGGCGCTGACCGAGGCCGTGTTTCGCCGCCCGCCCCATGACCGCGCCATGTCTTTCTCCACCATCGCGAACGAGACCAAGGTACACCCCGACGAGATCGAGCACCTGATCATGAAGGCGCTGAGCTTGGATCTGCTGCGGGGCACGATCGACCAGGTTGACGAGGTGGCCCACATCAACTGGGTGCAGCCCAAGGTGTTGGACATGCAGCAGATCAAGAGCATGAGGCAACGGCTGCAAGAGTGGGATTCCAGTGTTGACAAGCTTGGTAACTGGATCGAGGGTGTGGGCCAGGATGTTTGGGCTTAAAGGCTGGACGAATCTACGGACGGTGTGAGGAGATGGGAACAATTCGGGCGTTCAAACGGATGGCATCAAACCTGGAGATACAAGAGTAAACCTAATGCTTAGATCAGGGAACAAGGCCAGCTAAAGGCATGATGTTATTCCGCTACATGAGGCAGACCGACTTTACATGATACATATGAATACCCTTAACGCATGACAATGCCCACGGCGTACGTCCTCCATTCTCTAAATATCCAGGCCCATGCTTTGACCTGAGTTATGTCTATGTGAATCCTCTCCATGTACGCTCCATGAACAAAGACAAATCCAAAATACGCCGGCAGAATATGCTTCCTTGAACGCCGCAAAAAGATCAAGTATTGTACAAAACGTAAATGAGCCATCTGGCACGTGTTTACTGGAAACAACATCATACACAAGCGAAATATTTGCTGCTTACTTGCCCCTACTCGTACACCGTTTATCCGAGCTCAAGACAGGGACCGAACAATGTAAAAGAGAAGATAGGCCTTTGCGTTCAGCACATCAGACTTCTGGGCCAGTTCAACTTTGTGATCGTTAAATGCGAACCACTAAATAAATGTGCCAAAGGCAGCGGGTCAACAAGTCTAATCCTTCAGGAACTAGATGTCTGTCATGGTTCACTAGTCAGACTCACCTGGTCGCCAACCCGGCAATAAGAAATGTAGTGTCCGGTATCCATGTCGCCAACGTGCACAACAACGCAAAGAAGATCATAAGTGCAGGACCGCTGTAGCTCGTAGTTATCTTTGAGATCCTGTGTTCGTGCGCGTGTCGTATAAGGCAGCATGTTGAGTTGTAGAGGAAACTGGACAGGTGTCTCGATCTTCTGGGCACGATCGTTACGCCCTTGTTTGAACTCGAACCTCTGTTGGCAACTGTCAGCTTCTGTTGTCTCCGAGCGAAGCCAGCGGTAACGGCTAGTAAGGAATGTGCATGAGGAAGGACTCCTGGTAATCTGACCTTGAGCTGGATGGAAAGAACGTTGGGTAATTTCTTGATACTGGTCTGTCTTCTTGCTTGCTGTACTGAACTGCAGTTCTGACACCGATACTCGCACTTGTCGGATTTGATGTATTCTTCGTCCAAGCATTCCTGGAGAGTCACGCTGTTTTGCGTTCTTGTCGATGCAACCCCGTCGCCATTACTCAAGTTCTTTTTGCCCCTTTTTTGCGTCAAATTTTCCAAGGGAACACTGAGATCCAAAAAGCTCTGGGCTTGATTGGTGACGCCCCCACAGTTTTGGCACGTTGTGGACGTCTGTAACTTTCCGTAGTATGTTTGGTGGATGATGCAGTTGCAGGTATGCTCACTGCCAATTTCCGGTCTCTTGCCGTCGCCATTTCTCTCGTGTAATTCCTCAGCCATGAACTGGAAAAACTCATGAGCATCTTGCTCCTTGTTGGCTACCAAGTTCTCAAACGCCTTGTTCTCGCTGATCCAGAATCCGGACAAGATATTTGCGGCGGTATAACCGTTCGTCGTTTCGCTGGCATAAAATTCCTGGAACATATCGTCCATGGCACAACTGAGGCAATGGGGTGTGTCGCAACTGCCTGACTGATGCCCATCACTCAGGTAGAAGTTGCGTAGTATTGGATTGTGGAGGAATGATTGGAGGACAACGTTTTGATAGCAAGTTGCTCCGGCATTATAAATGCCACGGAGACCGTTGGCCTTGCAGGTGGCAAGGGTGGTGTTGGTCGATATATACTGGGGAGCGTCTTTTACGGGATCAGGGGCGAAGAGTTCCTCATGTTTACGCTTTCGGCCTGTGATAGAGATACAGATTAGTAACGGCCAGGGCTCATCGACATAGGAGAAGGTACCGGGCATAAGCCCACATGGGTTAGACGGAGAAAAGGACAGAAGAACATACTACCGAAAAACGACCCTGTGCCGAGCTTCTTTAACCTCAAATCCTCAAAGGTAGGGTCCCAAACGATATCATCACACATTTGGCAATACAGCGCTCCGCTCCTCGACTCAACATCTGATTATAACTGTCAGTTTCCTTGCCCCATGATTTGGCTCCTTCTGGCAGAGGCAGCGAACGTACAGAAGCGATGTGATTTTTTGTTGCCGTGTTTTGTAAGGTCATCATCGGTGAGAGTCGAGGGGCATTGCAGACAAAGGTAGGTTGGGGTAATGGATGTCACAACCTGGCCATCTACGCCCTTGGCCGTGTGTGACAGGATAGGGTTGATGTCGAAGATGGCTCGCAGAATGGTCTTGTAATGTTGTATGGACATGTTGATCGTCGCTTGATCTTGGTTAAAGAGACGGCCGACATGCTCTAGAAGAGGTTAGAAAATAAGGCCGTGTAGCAGGGACAAGAATGGGCTATCTTACCACATCCATACATTGGCTGGCCGGGCTGGGGTTCCTTGACCTTGTGGTCCTTGGAGGACGCAGCGTTGGCCGACATGGTGATGTGATTGTTCGCTCGTCGAAAGCCCCAAATGTGAAGCCCGTGTGTGCTAGTAATTCTGAAGGGGAGGAGCTGTGTTCGAATTCGCAGTGGTTGGAGCGGTCCGTGACCGGGTTAGCAACGAGGACGAGTGTTGCTTCAGACGCTGGGGATGATGTTCCTGGACTTTCGGCTCATAAGATTCGAAAAAAAAAATGGGTGAATCTAGCTGCAGAATTGGCTTTATTGAGCCTAGCTTTTCACCAGTCGAGATGGCTTGTAAGGGTCGTGGCGAGGCCGGCAAATCGCGTTCCGATGGGGAAAGAGCACAGTTCCCGGCGGTTCGGTCCAAGTACCTGGAATAAGAGGACTTGTTAGCAGCGATGCACGTCAATTAACGGTCGCGCTTTTTCTATTGGCAACATTTGCTGGTGATTTTTGTCTTACCGTCTATAAAAGCAATGTGTACAAAGCCGGTAAAGTAGCAATAGGGATCTTCTCTGGTTGTGTTGGTTCTTTCGAAGCAAGATGGGTTTGAAGTTGTTCGGGGTTGGAATCTCCATCCGATTTCCGCGGCATCAACATGGGCAATCAATCAATGGACGCCAACTGCACTTGCACGGCAGCGACTTGAACGGCTTATCGAACGCTACTACCTACGCAAGGCTTATCGATAACGAGAAAGGGGACAGAACCAACGGGTGGAACCTTTTCAACGCACTAGACACATATAAGTATGTACCTAGGTATGTAACTCTTCGTTGTGTCTGATTGGCCCGTAGCACTCATACCAGAGCGTGCAGCGGGACGGGAGGCAGCGAGGTACCTGAGACGGAGTCATGAGGATCTCAACCGAGGTGTCTGCCATGCCTGCATTTCACTTCACAATCAATTCTCCCAACGACTAGGCAACCTCCAGCGTGAGCCATCGTCATTTGAGAAGCTAGACTTCAGAAAATCAGAACTTTCTGGAGGCTGATTTGGCTCTCTTCTGTGCTTCATGGTAACCTGTTCTGGCCTCTGGTTCAGATCACGGTCCAAAGGGTTGGCAGCACATCTAGAGGTATCCTCTATCGTCTGTATCGATTGTGACCGATGATGTGGCTGTATGCCAAATGCTCCCGTTATGACAAATCTACGCAGACAACAAGCCGTTGATACAGTCTCTAAACACATCAGTTATAGCTAAGTATGTCAAGAAATTGGAGCGATTCGGACAAGCACGCAAACACCATCAAGCGGGTTACGTTCCTGGGAGACTTGGTATCAACAGAAAAGGGATTCTTCAGGCCACAACTTACAACACGTTCTCACAACGGACTTGAACTTGGCGAGCCCGGCCAACAAACCATCCACCCCGAGTCCGGCTCATATGGCCGATTCGCCAGGTGATCTTCGGAGCTTGCGCGGGTGGTAGCCGGACATTGATTATGTGCGATGGTATCATTGCCGACGCCTCGGCTCGGCAGTACCCCGCAGTCTGTTACCTAGTACACTATGTACATAGTAGCTCTCTTTCTCTCTATACGCGGTACAGGACGCAATATCCCCCCGTGTTTCACACCAAGTATGGTTCTCATTCGGAATTACCACTACTTCCTGTGTATCGTTCATTTTTTGCCCGTACTACTCCTGGTCCTGGATGTCCTCACCTGTCATCCCGCTCCTGGGACTCTCAACCAGGCCATCATTGTATCGAACTTTATCATCCTTTAATACACGGCTATCTCGCCTTTTCAAGATCCCATATCAACATCTGAAAACAGATAACAACCATAACCGCAGTATCACAATGTCTTCATCTGCAGTCCAACCGCCAATTACTCCTCTCCCCGAAGTCACCCGCCTCAGCCCAACTGTCATCCGCATCCTCGGCGGCAACCCCGGCAAATTCACCCTCCAGGGAACTAACACCTATCTAGTCGGCACCGGCCCCCAGCGTCTCCTTGTCGACTCAGGCGCCGGCGAGCGCTCCTGGATCTCCGCCCTACAACGGACCCTCACCGAGGAGAAAGCTCACATATCAGCCGCCATCATCACTCACTGGCACCACGACCACACCGGCGGGATCCGGCACCTGCTCGACTGGAACAGCAAGATCAACGTCTACAAGAACCAACCCACCTACCTACCAGGCTACCACGGCAGCCCAGTCTCGCTCGAGCAAATTGGCACCCCACTTCTCCCCATCGAAGACGGACAAGAGTTCAGCGTGGAGGGCGCCACGCTTAAAGCGGTGCACACCCCAGGCCACACGGTCGACCACATGGTTCTCCACTTGGCCGAGGAGGACGCGCTCTTCACGGGGGACAATGTGCTAGGCCACGGGACGGCCGTGTACGAGGATCTGGGAGTGTACCTGAACAGTCTGGAGCAAATGCGAGGGCTGTTTAAAGGGAAGGGGTATCCGGGCCACGGACCGGTGGTGGAGGACGGGCCAGGCAAGATTGGAGAATATATTAGGCATCGGCAGCAGAGGGAGGACCAAGTCATTGCAACGTTAAAGAGGGACAGTGAAGATGGATGGACGCCGATGGAATTGGTTAAGGTTATCTACCAGGGCGTGCCGGAAACTCTGCATATACCGGCCGCTGGAGGGGTGACGCAGATCCTTTATAAATTGAGGAAAGAGGGGAAGGTGACGACGGCAGATGGTGGTGATCGATGGCGGCTGACTGATCGATCGGCCCTGTGAGAAGATGGCGCTCAGGGTCACAACGTGGGAAAAACCAGCCAGCCGGTTTTTGGGCTGAATTGCGCATGATGTATGTATGAGGGTACATAGTGATGATGATGGTGATGGGTGGAGTAGAACCCATTCATTCAGGGTTCGGAACTGGTGCCGTTTGTCGCTTGTCGCTTCGCCCTCTCCCCAGAGCCGCGAGTGCGATGTGCATTGCACTCGAATCTTTTTGTTGGGCACTGTACACAATGATCGCCCATAGCCTTGACAGGATGCGCGGTGCAATGGATTTATGACTGGCGCGCCAGTTCATGACACCAAGTTGGCCTGACGAGGTTCCCGTTTTCGTCCGGATCCTTGTGTAGCCAGCACCCAGTCAACCCTAGTAAGCGAAACGGCCCGGGGACGGTCCAGCGTACATAGTAGTATGTACTAGGTTTCTCGACATTGTTACCCCGTCCCTAGCGGGAGCGCCTGGAGCACAGGAAACGACTATTTACGCGGTTCGTGTGCAATGCACGTTTCTGGCCCTTAGGTTGGTACGGATGGAGAACGAGTGGGCGTGCAGTTGAACTATACATAGTATGTGCACTACAGTGACAACCGAAACCACCATCATTCAGCCCTAGCATGCCCGTGACGTCAGTCAATGACGGAGCTGAATGCATGCCGCTTTAGGGTAGCTCGCTTTCATTGCAGGAGCAGAGCCTCAGATGACAACCGACGACCGCCCGTGTGGGACAGCTTTCAGTGCCAAAACACATATCTCGTCCCGCTCGATCTCATACCTAGTGTTGAAGCTCGGCCGTTCAGGTCGGTGTCAGCCGGCGCACGGTGTTGTGGTTCGGCTCGGCTCTCGGAATCGGGACGTCGGTCTGTCTGCCACAGAGGATGGGAGACAGGGCTGGCTCATCGGCATTCTATGGATCCCGGCGATGCGGTCTCACCGAGTTTCTGCAAGGGTGGGTTCCCGTCTCTTTGCACTCCAGTATGGATCCCCCGTCGTGCCACCCGAGTTATCCCAACCCGAGCATGAGAGGACCGCTCCGGCCCGGCCGTTAGTGGATTCCGAATACTCCCGTTTTGTTTATGCGTTCGAAACAGAAACTTTTTGCCATCCCATGTTTTATGTTTGTGGTGATATGGAACCTACAATACAAATATTTTTATTGTTCTGCGATGTGCCGAAGCCCGTAAACATATCTGTCAGCATGTGATTGATTCGCGAGTCTATGACCAATCGATTCATTTGTTGATCAACGCGGTCTCAGTAACTGAGTAATCGCTCTCGCGAAGCCGTAATGTCTTTTGGGAGTTATGTACGACTCTTCAGCGCGAGCCATGGCATAATCTCGGGCGTCCCCACATCGCGGGACGGAGAGAAAAAAAAAAAAAGGAAAAAAAAAAAAGGTTTTCTGCTTCGTCGTTTTCCTGGATTTCCAAGACGTCCGCCCACACATGTGGATTCTAGTTGGATCTCGTGCGATACACTTACAAACCATTGCAAGGACGCTAGGGGACAGTGCCCATGTGGCTGAATTTTACACGTTGATAGGTACTGTCGATCCAGGGACCACACCAATCATGAGACTGACCAATGTCACTGATACATCATTTCTGTTATCCAGCGGAAGTAATCGCTCCCAAACTCCGATATGTAAGCGGCATACATACACACTTCACGGGGAGGGAAGCATGTTCGCGTCTTGTTGTTGACAGGGACCATGGGATGAGATAAGCGCTTGACGTTGCCGACGGCTCATGTCATCTGTAGTGTAATACATCACCGAAGATGCGCATAACTGCCAGAGAGGCAGCTCCGGTCCCTTGCTGGCCGGAAAGAACCGATGCGTATGCGGGGTAGATACTGGCAATCAGACGATAACGGTTTTGTTTGGATCATGAGAGGCCATCTTCGTACGATCTCGAAAAGGATTTATGAACGAGCCAACCGGGAATAAAACAAGAAAAAGAAGGACACAAAAAAAAACAGCAGGCTGGGAATTTTAAGCGATGTTGGGTAGCCTTGCCGAGTGGGCAGCAGGTGGGTGGAGTTATCACAGTGCAGTGCCGTGCAGGATAATGACAGGGTTGGTGAGATCCGGTAGAGGTTTCGTTGGCCAAAAAATCCCAAAAGCCGATGTCAGTGTGAATCATTCTGAGAAGGGTTTCGTGATAGCTGCGGTACCGCACGGACTTAAGGACAGACATAGCTCCGGGCCACAACAAGAGTGCACACTAGAAGTGAAGGGGGAAAAAAAAGTTCGAATCAGATGCGGGGGAGGAGAAATGTTTCACTTCTCGTGAAACGAACTGGAGACGTTCGAACTCCTGGGGAGGGGATGGTCGATGAGAAGGAACTTGGGCCTATTCTGTCTGTGCTGTGAAAAGGTCCATTTCAAAGGTACTTGTTATACAGTAGAGTACGTACCCAGACCGCGACTTATAGGGCTGCGAGATGTGAAAGATCTCGATCGACATCAGCGTCGGGGGACTCAAGAGTCCGAGAGATCCGACAATATAAGCATCTAGACCCTGAAAGGGCAACACCGAGGGGAGGAAAAACAAATCAATGGCGTGCGTCTTTTTGATACTTATGTAAGAGACGCCCGGTGGGTAATGTGAGTTACATGCCCAGAGGTAATAGCATGGCGCTCAGTGGCTGCAGTGTCCACGCGCGGCCACGGGACTTGGAGGCTTTTTTGTCACTGCTTGGCGTGCCCCGCTTTCCATGCAACCTCGCGATGATGACGGCCCTTGAACTTCCTTTTGCAGTTCCTCTGTTGGACGCTTCTTCCCGATTCTGTGTACTGCTGTAGGTATTTTGAACACTACACTAGATGAATCATGATGTGTAGATGCCTCTTACCTCAGACGGCATCCCATTTCCGCTTGCTGACCACCCGCAAAGATCAATCCATTTCGGTGCTGTCCGATGGTCTGTTGGTGAAACGCTTGCAGCGCCAGGCAATACACTACGTGCCCTGGTCGATGAATCCCAGACGAAGCGTAGGGTTGCAAAACGGCCATGACAGTTGCAACCGCGTTCTGATTGCACTGGACTCCCGTCCTGTGGCCACAGCTTGTATGATGTTTGTTTCGAGTGATGGTGCGAGCGCAAGTGCATGCCGGCGTCGAAGTACTGTAAGTAGTATGTACCTATGTACGTGAGAGCTCCGTACGTGTTCCACACAGTCTGCCGTGACTGTCCAGGTACATGTCCACTGCCAGGGCGGGAAGGAGCGACGTCGGTCGGGCTTGTGCTTGTGACGTTTCTCGCTGCAGTGAGACTGCAAGGAGCGACCAACATTTTATTACCGTACATGCCTTACAATATGGTACGCAAAGCCCCAGCTTTTGAAGCTTCGGATGGCTCGGAGTCGCGAACACCTCATGATCCCGAACATCGATCGGGACCTTCTCATGTATCAGGAACGACATCACGTACCATGAACCGTCAGGTACCATTGGCACAGCATTAGTGTATCACTAAACCTCCCACAACGGCAACCGGGCAGCAACAATGGAGACGAGCTGGTCACGGTTCCGGGGGTCGGCTGGTCTGACTCGACGCCGTGCCGTCCGTGGTGTTGAAAAAAATGGAAGAAGGTCTTGGATGGCACCGGATGGTCTTGTCGTTGCCCTGGGCCGGCCACATTACCAATCAGTGGGGACCGGTGAAGATTCTATACACAGACTTGTTCCATGATGGAGGCCGAGCTTTGCTAGGTATCCTCCCTTCAGGTTCCCGACTGTGATCCCCTACCACATACCCTTGACCATGCACAAGCTTCCCTGCTCTTCTACGGGGTGCGTCCATGGAGCGAGCAAGATATATCATTCTCGTCACCATCATGTTATGTTTTTTTTTTCTAGCCCGTCTCTTTTACTTCCGATCCTGATATGTCGATAAAAACCCAGAGACCCCCCTGTTTGCTGTCCGTGTTTTGATAGCCACTACTCGACTCGCCTTTGTCTACATTGTCCCTCGATCACATTCACCACGGTAGATTGGGAAGACCGACAGCTTCCGATCTGCTCATCCTTAACCTTCTCCGTCACCACCTCGCCAGCCTCGCTCAGTTGAATGTGCTCATCTTCATCCCATCTTAAAAACTAGTCCCAAGTTTCTGCACTCTGACCTCATTCATCATAACGACTGAAAACTAGACGGATTTGGACCAGATGAAGTCCGTTACTACAAGGCCGCTGCTTGCAGCGCTAACTGGCGCCGCGGTTCTGGGACTGCTCGTTCCGACTGTCCTTGCGCACGGCGGCGATGACGGCGGCCATAGCGGTCACGGGGGCATGGAAATGACTGATGCCGACAAGCCCCGGCCCGAGGAAGAGTACCCTCTCACATACTTTGCGCATCCCGATCACAAGACCGCCATCTACGCACACATCGCCCTGATGGTTCTTGCCTGGGTTTTCATGCTCCCAGTTGGTAAGGATTACACCGCCCTCCGGCATCTGGGCGTGCTACAAGGAAAGGAGAGCTCCAGAATGCTGACCGAAGCGACCCATAGGTGTCATGCTCTCTATTGCCCGTTCGCGGTATAGGCTTTTGGCGCAATTCGCTTTTCTCGTGACCAATGCAGGCGGCATGCTCGTTGGAATCGTCTACAATGCCAGCACACCGGATCTGTATCCTAACAATGCCCACCACAAGCTCGGATGGGTTGTCACCTGGCTCGTAGGGGCCCAGTTCGCCATTGGCCTTTTGGCGAGTGTTGCAGGCGTCTTCAAGAAGCAGCAATCCGACGGCAACAGCAGGGAGCGCCAGGGCTTCATGCCCGTCTCGACCCAGGCCATGGAAGAGCACAACAGCCACATCAAGCCCGCCAATAATGACGCTTACCGATTCTCCAACGACAGCGGCCAGGGAACCGAGCTTTCCAGCGATGCCCCGCGGAGTCCCTCCCTTTCGTCTAGCTCCGGTGACGTTTCTCGACAGCCCCTCGCTCTCCAAGATGTCAACCTGCATACCAAGGAATATGATGACGGCGATGACTCGTACGATGTCAACTCCCACAGCGGCAGCGAGCCTCTTGGACCCATCCTTCCTGCTTCCGGCAAGGCCGTCTCTACCATTAAAAAGATTGCCGATAAGATTTCTGGGAAATTCTGGAAGGTTTTGATCCTAGCGTACAATGTGGTTGACCGGGCTATTTTGCCCCTGGGTTTCGTTGCGTTGTGCACCGGTATCGTGACTTATGGTCGTTTTTTTGTGAGTCTTCACCCCCTTTCCCTCGGTCGGTTTCATAAAGGTGCTGCAGCAAGGTGCTCTGGGATTAGAGGCTAATATGTTCTGGTTGCAGGAGGGCTCCGGTATCTTCTCTGGTCTCGCTCACTGGATTAAGGGCGGCATCTTCTTCTGGCTGGGTATTTTCACCCTTGGCCGTTGGGCCGGCTGCTTCGGTGAAGTTGGTTGGGTACGTATTTATCCCCTGTTGATTCTACAATATCTGCAACAGTTGGAATTTGCTAACGATACCCCAAGGCTTGGAACGTGCGCCCCAAGCAGGCAGGCCAGAAATGGCGACCCTCTGCCGAGTTTGTCGAAAGTGCCTTGATCTTCACCTACGGCGCCACCAACGTCTTCCTGGAGCATCTCGGCAACTGGGGCGGCGCATGGTCGGCTCAGGATCTTGAGCACTTCTCCATCACCATTCTCTTCATTGGAGGTGGCCTGTGCGGCATGCTCATCGAATCTGTTCGCATCCGCGACCTGCTCAACACCACCGTCACCGAGGAACCCCGCCAGCAGCATCACTTCCATGACGCGGAAGTCGAAGACTCCGAGAGACGCGAGCCTGAAACCTACTCCTTCAGCATGAACCCCATCCCTGCCTTAGTCATCCTCCTCCTCGGCATCATGATGTCCTCGCACACCCAAGACAGCATGATCTCCAGCATGGTGCACAAGCAGTGGGGCAATCTGCTTACCGGCGCCTCCTTCGCGCGCGGTTTTACGTATGTAATCACCTACCTGAAGCCGCCCCGGTCCGTGTACCCTTCGCGCCCGCCGACGGAGCTCCTCACGGCCTTTGGGTTGATCAGCGGCGGCATCATCTTTATGGCTAGCGCGGGCGACACCGTCAGCGGCATGATCCATTACCAGCTTGATGCCATGTTCACGTACACCGTCACCATGGGCCTGGTTGGGCTGCTGATGGCGTGGGTCATTCTGTGTATTGCGCTCAAGGGATGGGCGGTTCGCCAAGAGGCGGGGCGGTATCGTTGAAAGGGGCTTGTCCAAGCTCGTTTCATGCGACACAAAATTCTCCTTTTCCGAGAACATCGCTCGCGCACTCTACTTCAATGCGGTGCGATATACAACCTTGCAAGTAGGGTGAATCAACCAGACCATGGGGACTTTTTTGGTTCTTCCCATCTAAGTGCCCTACATGGCTTGGTTTTGCCAGATGCGGCGCGTTTGCTTCTTGACGAGTTTATTTCGAGAAAAGCAGCGCCGAGTGGATTGGTTAACGAGGACGTTGACCAGAACAAGACAGTTGTGGAGATTGATGAGGATGGTGCATGATACCCAGGTGGTGTTTTGAATTTTATATACCAACGGGTCCGCATCAGATCGGTGTTTTTGTTTTTTCTTCTGCATTTCCAAAGACAGATACCCACCCCCCTTTTATACCCAATTTCCTTCTTTTTGTGCGACATACACATACACATCGATACGCGGCAACACACATACGATCATTTACGACACTCGCTCAAGGGAGGATTACATTGCAACTACAACACGGCGAGACAACATCAACGATAGATGAGGGCCCAGAATCGGGATTGGCATGGATGGGATGGATGAGACGGGATGGACTGAGAGACGACATTATGGTAATGCGATTAATGACAAGGGAAACAAGGCAAAAATAATTGGGGTGAAGCCCTCAGCAATGGATGGATGGATTGGATGTAGAGTGGTAATATCCATACGATGCTGGGAAGGGCAGTCCCGAGAGATGGAAGGAAAAGTACATGGTGCAAGTAGACGTAAAGATAAAGCATGAAATGATAATATGTATATGTACTTCAATTCCCAGGTCATCATTGATCCATACTGTGTCCCTCTTGACTATTCTAGTAGATGATGTAAACAAAAAAAACCGAACATACAAACAAAGGGACACTGGCCATAGTCGGGATTTCCTCTTAGTCAGCAGCTGATCTTGTTGGTCTGATGAATCTTATTTCGACCGCTACCAAACAAGACCTTCATTACTCGGAAAATTTCACCAAGTTCGAAAGAGATACTGCCCACTTCGGAGATCATATTTGACAGTTTCCCCAGGTCGGAAATCCAGTGCCGAGGTGCTTACCAAAAGTGCGGTTCATGCATTGACAGTTTCTATGTTGGTGTGAGCCGTGTTTAGACCATTTCTCACACCATCTGACCAACTAGTCTGGCAGTTCCCGTCAATTCTTCAATGTCATTGTGATAGTTGCTTTGTTGTTGTACAAGGTATACATATATTTCAACAACCCTGCGGCCCCAACATCTCTCTTATTGTACAACATGATACACGCATCTTCCGCGGCCCCCCTTTTGCATCCCTCGACATCTTTTCCCATCATCTCCTCTGCAGGATCCAAAGATCACTGAACAGATTGACCCAGAGAGATCTAGTCGTCGGGGTACGATTCCTTGATGTTCGATACGAAAGTGCAGGTTTTTCTGTCAAACCGCTTGAAATACTTGCCCGCCAGGAACTTGAGCGATTCGGGAATGAGGTTAGGATCGGTGATAATCTCGATGCTATTTTGAGCCACCCGCAAGCGGTCAATCCTAGGTCTCTTAGAACTCCTGTTGTGACTCCAAGTGTTAGTGGAAGTTGATAATAAGACAAGCTATCAAACAAGAAAGAGGGAAGAACATCAAGGGAACGACATGGCCACACGTACATGCATGTATAAAACACTCTAGCCAACTGAGGCCTTAGCTGGCCTTCTGAGTGCAGCCTGTCCCCTGAAGATCTGGGAGAAGTCGTTGGAGACTGGACTTCATCCTCGTAGCCATCGAGGTAATGCGGAACCGGAAGGCCTGCAGACCCAGCTGCCCAGCCGTTGATGATTCCGATCCATCCGTATCTCTTGTGACGGAAGACCTGGCCGATCCTGTAGCGCACGCGCTCCTGCATCTCCTGCGTGTAGCGACGGGTGACGACCGCCTCCCTCCTGTCGAGGTTGTCTAGCATGTTGAGAATCTCGCGGACATTTTCCCATCCAGCCCGGTTGCGCACGTGCGGTTGCGATGCGACGAATTGTTCGTACATCGGAAGAAGATATTTGCGAACGATCCAGGCGTCTTCGCCCCACGACATGGCAAATGAGTGCAGAAAGGTCTCAAGGTTATGGTCCCAGTGAACACTGGAAACCGGCTTGACCATCAGTTCGGCCCACATCGAGGCGTACTTGGCCGCCTCCACGTTGATGTCTGGATGACCCGCCCGCAACCGCTTCGCTTCGACCTCGATGGGCTCCCCTGATCGGTCGGCGAGATTTTGGATTCGACTCGTAGCGGCTTTGATATTGGCCGCTGTTCGGAGGACGATGATTGGCACAGGCGACGCCCTCAGAAACACCTCTGACCCTTGAGTCCAGCCCAACTCGACCAGTGCCCTCCGTAGCTCATCAAGTGTGACCTCCCCATCCCACTTGTAAGGGTTCAGATACATAGTCTCCGGTTCGGCTTTGGGATCCTCTTCCACATCACCATCCAAGGTCATACCTGGAGGAGCCTTTACAGACGCGTGGACATGGCTCGGGAATGCACAACATGCGCTTGACATGCCGAGGCGTTCGGCAACCGAAGCAAATATGGCGCTCGAGATTATGGGAAGTGACGGATGCTCGTCGTCAGACAGGGCGTGCCCTAGAAGGCAGTTCCTCAGATTGTGGTAGTTGACGGTCTCGTTCTCCATCCCCATGAGATTCTGGGCCCTCAGCCAGCGATTCAAGGCTAGAGCCTTCTGCCTTGTCGACATGATCTTATGTTCTGGGTGCTCCAACATAAACCTCTGAGCGAGCGTGTCTAGTGTGCTTAGTATCTGTGGGGGGGAAAAAGTGTGAGCTAACATGCATCCGCCGCGAGAGATGGCGTGCAACATACGTATTCAAGGTCTTGGGGCTGGTCGTGTAGAACGAACAGGTCGAATGCGCCGAGAGCACGATCGAGCCCCGAGTACGGATCGGTCCCCGTTTCATAGCACTTGGACCATACCTCTACAGCGATGCCTCTGTGGATGCTGTCCAATGCTGAATTCGCATAGTACCTGGATGAACATTTCAGTAACCGAACGGTCTTTGGATCTAGACAAATCCCACTTGGGCCGAGCAGGAATGAGATGCCACCATCAGAGGGGGATCGACTGATACACAAGACCCTTGCGTGCAGTGTACTTGAAACACCAAGCTGCATTGCCATAAGAGAGCTGCCTCATACCTTCTGGCCAGAACGTCATCGTGGGATTCATCGACGTGACATTGCTCCAAAAGAAAGTCCTTGGCGTCGTAACCGAACTGACAGATGCGCTGGAGATTCCTCAGCTGGTGGTATCTCGTTGTGAGGATCTCGTCCAGGAGGCGTTTAATCAAGTGGTTCTGCCTTTTCCTTCGAAGCCATAGCTTCTTCCACTCGATAGTAGTTGGTCTCGGGTCCGACAGTTTCGCGAAGAAGTAGTGTTCAGGCTTCCAGAAAGTAAACGAGTTTCGGCAAAGATACCGCCACAACAGCGGTTCGTTGGCAATGTGGTAGAAACGCCGCGAGACTGGCTGAATGTTCAGGACATTGTCCTCGGGCGAGACATATAGAAGGATGTGGCGGATGAGCTCATCGGGAAAACGGTCCAGTGAGGAGGAGGACGTCATGGCGCGGCTCTCCAAGTGCACACCCAAGGTGTGTTGGTTGCCTATATATGTGCGCGTCTCGCAACTGCTGGTCCGGATCCTGGACGCTGAGTTGTCGGGAGCTGATTTGTTCAAGATGTCAGAGGTATGGAGAAAGAGCTCAGTTCTGGGATTTGGGGTCGAGAGTCGAGGAGACTGTCGAGCGGAAATCCAGCGATGTGCTTGTACTGGGGCAGATCGGCACAGGGAAGAGGGACGGGAGTGCAGAAGCAAAGTGGAAGCCAGAGAGGCAGACGGTAACCTTTTTCTTCTTCTTCTTTTTCTTGCTCCGCGTGCCGGGATGAGGTCGAACAATCAATATGTCATCCTTCCCGTCACTTCTGCTCCGGCGTCACATTAGTGGTAAAGGCAAAACTTAGAATGGGATGCGTCTCGGTACCTGGAATTTGAATGACGGCACCTTATCTAATAAATTTGGCTTTTATTATCGCGAGGTCAGGCAGGCACCTATGACTTGCGGCCCGTATGGTAAGGTGCCAAAAGTTCAAGTTGGGACGGCACACTGGAACGGCTTGGAAGAGATGGCCCGAGCGTTTCCTCTTACTGTGTATGCACTATGCAGTAGTACCTTACGTAGTGTATTTACAGTCTAAGTACCTCTACGTACTGACTTTACGCGCACTTGATGCTTGGTTGTACGTATGACCCGCAGGTGTTCGTTCAATGTTCAAAAAATTAGAGTGTCTCGCTGCTGTCTGGGCTGCTCCGTCTTGTTGAGTGCCTGTCCGGGCGGCCGCCCTTGAGGTAGGTTGCCAAATAGGTGCCGCCCTGTCCGTGTCATGACTGCTGCTCTTCCGGGTCTGATATGTATGCGGCTTCCACCTCGTGCTTGTACGCTTTAACGCACCCCACTTTTGCCCTTAACTGATCTGGACCGCGGGGTAAAAGTGTCCCAAAATTTCCCCTTGCGGTCGGTGTCTTTGCGCCGCCTTCGTTCGTTCCGTTCCCCGTCGGTCCAGACGTACGTCCCCTTCTGTGCTGCTATCGTGTCGTGTCAGAGTGAGTCTCACCCCCCCTTCCTTTCCAACATTCCGTCCCTCTTCGGGCTATTGCGACCATACACGTCCAAAGTGAGTCACAGCCCGGGCCTCTGACACAATCCGCGAAATTGTTATCTTTAGGAACCCTTCAGTCGCAACCGAACACCCCCCCGACGTTCTGTCGACACATTTCAACATGGAGCAGGTTACCGAAAAAGTCACCGAGACCCTCAAGAAGGTCGCCATTGGCGGCGACAAGCCCCAGAAGGAGAAGAAGCAGAAGAAGGAAAAGGGTGCCCCCGCCGCTGGCGGCGATGCCGGCCCTCTTGAGATGAACCCTCCTCCTGCCTTTATCCAGGAGCGTCTCGACCTGTTCGACAAGCTTTACAAGGAGCAGCAGGAGGAGCTGGCCAAGCGCCCCCGCGATGACATCCTCATCACCATGCCCGACGGCACCACCAAGACCGGCAAGGCCTACGAGACCACCCCCGCCGAGATCGCAAAGGGCATTTCCAACAGCCTCTTCAAGCGCACCGTTGTCGCCAGAATCGACGGAGAGACACTATGGGATCTGGAGCGTCCTCTCGAGAAGAGCTGCAAACTGGAACTCCTCGACTTCAACGATGACCAGGGCAAGTTCGTTTTCTGGCACTCGAGTGCCCATATCCTCGGCGAGGCCTGCGAGCGCAGATTCGGCTGCTCCCTGTGCATCGGCCCCCCCGTTGACAACGGCTTCTACTACGAAATGGCTCTTCCCGGCGGTGCCGCTGTCCAGTCTAGCGACTGGGCACCCCTCGAGAACATCGTCACCAAGATCGTCAAGGAGAAACAGCCTTTCCAGAGATTGGAGATGAGCAAGGAGGATCTGCTCAAGATGTTCGCCTACAACCCATACAAGCAGCACATCATCAAGGACAAGATCCCTGACGGCACCAGAACCACTGTCTACCGTAACGGGCCCCTTATCGATCTCTGCCGTGGTCCTCACGTCCCCGACACCAGCAGGATCGAGGCTTTCGCCATCATGAAGAACTCCTCTTCCTACTTCCTTGGTGACGCCAACAACGACTCCCTCCAGCGTATCTATGGTGTCTCGTTCCCCGACAAGAAGCAGATGGCCGCTCACAAGAAGTTCCTTGAGGAGGCTGCCAAGCGCGATCACCGCCTCATTGGCAAGCAGCAGGAGCTCTTCTACTTCGAGGAGTGCTCGCCCGGCTCCGCCATGTGGCTGCCCCACGGTATGCGCATCAACAACGCCATCATGGAATACATCAAGGAGGAGTACTGGAAGCGCGGTTACGACGAGGTCATGACTCCCAACATGTTCAACGTCGCTCTTTGGGAGCAGTCCGGCCACTTGGCTCACTACAAGGATGACATGTTTATTCTCGACGTTGACAAGGAGCAGTTCGGTCTGAAGCCCATGAACTGCCCTGCTCACGCCATGATGTTCCGTCACCGTGACCGCAGCCACAAGGAGCTTCCCCTCAGGCTTGCTGATTTCGGCGTGCTCCACAGAAACGAGGCCAGTGGTGCTCTCTCTGGCCTTACCCGTGTGCGCAGATTCCAGCAGGATGACGCTCATATCTTCTGCCGTGAGGATCAGATCAAGGCCGAGGTTGCCGACCTCTTCGACTTCATGAAGTCCTTCTACGGCATGCTTGGCCTCACCTTCAAGCTGAAGCTCTCTACCCGCCCTGAGAAGTACATGGGTGAAATTGAGACCTGGGACCGCGCCGAGGCTCGCCTCAAGGAGGCTCTCGATGAGTTCGTCACTGCTACTGGAGGCTCCTGGGAGCTGAACGAGGGCGATGGTGCCTTCTACGGCCCCAAGATCGACATTGCTGTTCTGGACTGCCTCAACCGCCCCTGGCAGTGCGCCACCATCCAGCTCGACTTCCAGCAGCCCATCAACTTCTCTCTCGAGTACATGACCGCTGATGCCCAGGTCAAGCAGGATGAGGACAAGGCCGCCTCCAAGGCTGCCAAGCCTGAAGCTCCCAAGGAGGAGGAGGAGGCCCCTAAGGAGGGCGAGGAGAAGAAGAAGAAGGCTCTTCTTGTCAAGAAGCCCCTTACCGCCGGCTGCGCCCGCCCCGTCATGATCCACCGTGCCATGGCTGGTTCCATCGAGCGCTTCACTGCCATTCTTGCCGAGCACTTCGCTGGCAAGTGGCCCTTCTGGATGTCGCCCCGCCAGGTCATGGTCATCCCCGTTGGCATGGGCTTCCTTGATTACGCCAAGGAGGTTGCCTTGACCCTCAAGAAGGAGAAGATCCACGTCGGTATGTTTTCCCTGACTCACCCCCGTTGTTAGGCAAACAAAGATCAAATACTGACACAAAAACCACAACAACAGATGTCGATAGCAGTGGCAACACCCTCCAGAAGAAGATTCGTTCTGCCCAGCTTGCTCAGTGTAAGTCACAAGCCTGTTCCCCTTTATCAAAATTGCACCTTCTAATGACGCAACACAGACAACTTCATTTTTGTCGTTGGCGACGACGAGAAGACCAACCGCAAGGTCAACATCCGTTACCGTGACGACACCTCCACCCAGGCCCGTGATGTGCCCTACTCTCTCGAGGAGGCCGTCGAGAAGCTTCGCGCGCTCAAGGCCGATCGCGGCATGTACAACCCTTTCCCTGCCCATAACCCCAAGAAGGAGGAGGCTACCAAGGAGGAGGTCAAGGCTTAAAGCTCCAGCTCAAGTTAGGGAGTACATGAAGCAAAAGAAATAAAAACAAAGTTAAGTTTAAAAGTTCATGTTGGCAGCAAGGGGGCGGCGTAGGCAGGAGTATGGGTTATAGTCATCTAGAATATGCTTGTTACAGAACGGTAGAGAAAGAGGCGAATATTTCTGTTAAATCTTATACTAAGGAGCCTTTGATATTCTTTGGAAATGGTTTGGTGGTCTGCCGCTCGGGCGCACTGGTGCTTCTGCATAGACCTCAGCACTGCATTTCAGAAGAAATGATTCCGCGTAGACGGGGTACGGACAAGAAGGTGAAGGTGGGAAAAAGGGAGAGGGTATTTGTATTCTAAAATAGAAAAGCGTGTACACACTCGTACTAGACAATGCACCCAACCCGATAGTGACCAGAAAGGAAAATGGCAGGGAAAAAAAAGAGCAGGCATGATAGTCATTTCAACAATTCTCAGAAACCCCCCAGACCCACGGCTAGTTCATTCTTCTTCTTCTTTCACTTTTCAAGTTTTCTTTTTGTCTCCGCTTTCCACCTGTTAAAGAATTCCCCGTCTTTTGCTTTCCTGCCCAAGATCTTTCTGTCTCTCAATATTCCCTTTCTCTTCACCGACGTCCAACTCGTAGCGGGCCTCTTCCTTATTGAAATCCAGGCCTTTTCCTTTCCATAAACCAACTTAATCATTCCCGTCCCTCGTTCCTTTCGTCACAAATTCGTAGACCCTAGTCCGTCTTTATGCTTTCAAGGCTTGGGAATATGAATGGTCTTGCTTGTCATCAAGCAGCCGTGGAGCATAAAGATGAGGACAATGGGGTGGAATTCGAGCGCGGTGCCCTGGAACATGGTACCCAACGGAAGTGAATCATGAATCCAGCCTTGTGACACCCAGTAGGCCATGATGGCGTCCAGACCGAGCGTCGTGGGGATTGGCGTGCCCTCAAAGTAGGCAGCCTTGCCGTTGGCGTCCTTCGGGATGGCGGTCGCGGTCACGTTAAAGCGGGCGAGGCGGGTGAGGCCACAGAGGATGAAGAAGCCAAGGCAGAGATGGTCGAGGGGGGTACGGATACCGATGGCGAAGGCGACGACAGCGGGTGCGACGCCAAAGGAGATCTGTTGGTTGGATGGGTTGTGAGTTAGAATGCTTGATGTCCCGGAGAGGGTCGGGGTCGAGGAATTGGGAAAGCGTGGGCAATAATGGTGTACACGTACCAGATCAGCCAGCGAGTCCAGCTCTTGGCCCATCATGCTGCTCTTGTTCCTCCAACGCGCGACCTTGCCATCCATGAAGTCGAAAAACAAGCCAAAGGGGAGGAAGGCAAGCGCATAGTAGAGGTTGGTCTTGTCGGCGGGGTCGCCGAGGCAGTACCGCAAAGAAGAGAAGAGGGAGAGGATACCGCAAAGGCCTAGGAGAGTTGCAGAGGCGTTAGCATTCTGTGACCACGTCTTCTATGATATGCCAACTCGCGCAGAAGTTGTGCGTCGATATTATACTTGGGGAAAATCGCGGAGGCTGTGACGGTCCGATCTTGCTGCTTTGACGCTTATGGCCCCAAAACCCAGCGTCACAAGCTATGCTAACCAGACAGAATGCGCGAGAGAATACAAGGAAACAGAAACTAACCATTCAACTCAGTAATGAGATCCGCGAGGTGCATCGCGCGAATGAGAGAGAAGTGCCCCGCATCTGTAGAGAAGAGAATTTTTTGCTTGTCGTGAGCTACCGATTGACGCGCCATGTTAGCAACAGTTGTCTACGTTAAGCGCTCAAGGGCTTGCTCCTTTCAAACAGCGGATGGTAGATGATATCGAACAGGTTCGCATAGGGAAGGAAAACATACAGCGATCGAACTCGGCAGCAGCGGCGGAGGTGGAGTCGTCTTGGGCTGCGGCGCCATTGGCGACCGACGCATAGCTCGGCCGTTTCGACATGGTTGCGGTCGTAAAGATGGAGTGGAAAATTCACTTAGTTGGAATCTCGTGAATGGGAGAGATCAGATGGGTGTTGTCTCGTCTGGCGCTTGTCGTGTCTTTTTATTTCATTCGGTTGGTTCTTGAGGGGGGGAAGTCGCCGGATGCAAGGAGGGTCCTGTAAATAAGAAGAAAAAAAAAGTTGATCAGCTGGTGCTCTGAGAGAAGGTGCAGCCTGCTATTCAGTCGCCTCTGCATGCATGTGAAGATGGGATACCAAAGGGATTGCGGCAGGAGATGCTCACCAAAAGACTACTTGAAGAAGGTGACTTTTACGGCCTTTTTCTCTCAAGATGGAGAAGATGGGGAAAAAATATTTGTTGGTGAGGGGCTGGAACGAGTTTGAATGCCTCTACGTGACCACCTCGATCACGGCAGGACAACAACAAGGTGGTGGTAGGTATCCAAATGTTGGTCACGGTGCCTTTCTGGTTTCGAGGTTCCCCCCTACGGGCAGTCCAGGTCAATGCTTCTCTGAAGGTCTGGATGAAGGGAATGACAGGGTCCTGCTGTTGTGGCAGGGGTCATGCCGTCATTCTGCGCAGCGAAATCTGGCCTTGGCGGGAGCCGGGGCGTCGACCGACTCGAGACCGCCTTCTCAAATCGTCCTTGGGCTGTTTGGCGGCCACTTCTCTGCCGGCACGACTCGCTACCTTTACTTGACCGCCTGCCCTTCTCGTCCCGGCCGCGGGGACATGGTCCAAGATTACGTCACAAACAAACGTGTGATACAGACTTGTTAACCAACAACTTAAGCAAGGCTTCGAGACCAGATGGCACGAGTCCTGCGCGTCATGACCTCCCAGCACGTCTTTTGTCCTTGTTTCACTTTTATCAATTAACCTTTGTGTGATTGGGCTGCTTAATTACCCGGCTTTGTCCAAAATCGAAACCCACATTCCGACCTTTGAGCCGTGACAAAGTCCTTTCCCCCTGACATCAAAACAGTTCGCCGCTCTACGTATCCCTGGGAAATGACTTTTTACTGCAGAAACAACCCCAAGTACCCCTCCCAGTTGACGGCCAGTCCTCGGAGGGATGTATGTCTATGAACCGTTTCGCGATTCCACCTGTTCGTGTAGCTCCCTCAGCACACCACGCTCGGCAAGCTTCGTCACCCATTCATGAATTGCTGGCGTGTGGTCTTTTCTTCGGCCAGGGTCTTCATTCTGAGCTTCGCCGTCCTCGTCACCCTCCGGCCCAGACGCAACTTCTGTGTAGTACTCCGCCCGAATTTGCTCCTGCTTCTGGCGGAGCTCTGTTCTAAGAAGCAGCGCTTCAGCCATCTCCATCCCACCGCTTTGTATATTATCTTGCAACCGACGGGCTTCTGCTGAATTTTTGATCATGAGTTGAGCTTCGTCTGTACTGAGCTGGAACTCGTCCAGCTTACTCTGATCGTGAAAGTTGCTGATATGGTCCTTGAACGAAGACGAGCCATTGCCTTCCTCGAACCAGGCCGATTCGCTTCGGAATGCATCATTGAGCAATTCCGTACAATGGATGTTGACAGCGAGTTGACGCCGCAGTGCGGCCCGACGGTCTCCGCAAAGAGCGAGGAGGCTAAACGCCAACTGATCAGCCTCATACTCCATCATCTTTTCTTGGATGACAGGTTGCGCTACACTCGTCCAGTGCGCCCCTTTCTCAAATTTGCCTACATTGTTTGTCAGTCATGTCGTGAATAAATTCTTTCGTCGAGTAGGGGAGACATACCGACGTAGCGGGGGTTAAACTTCAGCCCATCGAGTTCCCACACGCTACGGTCCCGGTGGTTTGGCACATATGCAACAAAGTGGTAGGCATCCTCCATCTCCTGCTCCTTCTTGCGGCGCGCTGTGGTTCTAGCCCGCTTTTTTTTGCTTTCCTCAACCTTGTTCTCGAGGGCCAAGGCTGCATTGAGAAGGTCCAGGCGCCTGTTGAAACGTCAGCTCAAGCCGATTATGGTCAGCCCTTCTGGGAAGCGGAATGCTGTACGTGCCTTGCAAAATGATTATGAGCTACCCTGATCCACGAACTGCTACTGAGCAGGTGACCACGCAATGGCGGAGATAGCGGTCCAGATTCCTCCTTGAATTTGGACAGATTTATGTCCAGTGGAAGGTCTTGGGCGTTCATGATGATGTTGAATAAAGCGACTGTCGCACACGCGTTGTTGGTCGTCTACCAACCAAGGTTAGCCACAGTCGATAACAGAGGGAGGCGCCAAAGGAAAAACTAATGACTTGCCTGGTTGGCGAACCATAACCCAAACTCCTCATCTGGTTCCAGATCCTCCTCCTCCTCTTCCATGACCTGGAATAGGAACACTAGGCCATACAGAGGTTCCCTACGCGCAGTCAGCACCAGTTGATACCCCTTGATGCAACATGGGAAGCGCCATCAACTCACGGGAGAAGGAGGAGCGATTCCTCGTCAACAGACAACACCTCCCTCACTTTTGCCTCCCGTATGCCGAGCAGTCTGAGAATACGGTTGAAGAAGACTGGGTCAGACTCTACGTCCGTCCAGCTTGGCCATTCTGTTAGCTCATTTTCATGCCACGGTCCTAGCGAAGCCTGCAGCACGTCCATGGGCACGTCAAAGACTTCAGGGGCTGCCTTGCGCTTGGCACTTCGTCGGGGTCGAACAGCTGTCGTTGGCTCCTCTGAAGCGGGCGACTCCTTGAGCATCGATGATCGCTCGGGATCGGCTGACTCTTCCAGCTTTGCTGAGGCCTTCGAGTCGAGTGACACCCTCTTCCGGCTGGCCTTCACACCGGCAGGCGAGTTGAGTTCGTCGTCAGAGCTGAGTTCCGCATATCTTGTGTTTGGCTTGCGGGCACGCCCTGAGCGACGGGTTGCCGCCGGCTCACTATTTGGATCCATATCTCGAGGAAAGTATGGTGAAATAAACTTGATGAACTCGACAAGCTGTGACCCAATCAAGCTGAGCGATAAATGCTGAAAAGGTTCAAGAGGGTGAAGGGCAGGCTGCTCGTCTTTTCCAGCTCTGGTCTCAGGGACAGCCGCCGTTTGGAGATGGTGTAGCGCGGGATCTTGCCTTGTGACTTGTGACCGTGAGACTCGGGTTATGACATGCCACGAACATCACAGGGAAGTCTGGTATGGAGGCTGTTTTGTTCGGTCTCAAAGTCGATGGATGAATAAGGTTAATTATCAGATTTGAGCGGCAGTTGATGGAGGCAAGTGCGCCGGGGATGTTGTAAGTGACTGCACCAAGAACTCGCTTG